CATCCACGGAGTTCTTGCTAAACCCTCCCCGTGTACAACAAATTTGGCACCTTGGCCTTTTGCTGAAGTTCACTTTCCAGCTGATCAATGCGGCCTGAACACTCGGCGTGCCGACACACCAAATGATGAGCCGAATGAGGTCTGCAGACTGCAGGAGGAGTCTGTGAACTTGCAACTTCTTTTATACTTGGCAGCGTTCTGCGTCAATTCGGGACAGCTTTTGACGTTGAAGAGTGTTGCCCAAATATAAAATACAAAGTACTGACTGACTCACAAGCATGCTCTTGCCAAACCAAAGAAACAATATCATACATCTTACATCATAGATCATCTGTCCACCCGGCCCGGCAAACATTTCGACTATCTAGCCGATGCCCCTACAACAATGATCAATTTTATGCAGATCCTGTCCTGTGCGGCAGCATGTGTGCTTTGGCATCACTCTGCCGACTGTTGTTGATGATTTGGCCCAAAAAATCCGTCAACCTGTTCTGCTTCCTTGAAGCTCCCAGAGGCACTGGAAGGCAGCTAGCCTTGTCGGGCACCGAGTTGCTGCTCCAAATCATTTCTCTCCTCTTCACTTGGGCCTGAAAGCAGCGACGGCAGCGCTTCGGCAGCTCGGTTTCAACAAGTCTTGGATTGGCTGAAAGAGAAACCTATGGCCTTGTCGAGCTTTCCAAGCCTCATCCCTTTCCTCATACAGGGAGCATCTGTGTGATCTGTCCCAAATGTGGTTATGAAAACTAGTATATAGCTAGTAATTTGTAGTGAGGGTGTCTTTCATATGCCCTGCTGCTTGAGATCACCATGATGACCTGCGAAGAAAAAACACCCGTGTCATGCCGTGCCCAGTCGCCCGGCAACAAACAATAAGATTTTGCCCAAGTGTCTCTGTGGAGCTCCTCCAGCTGATGTTGGGCATCTGCCAGCAAGCACTTTGTCTTACCAAGCTCCTGAGGGTAAGACTTCCACAGTTCTTTCGTCGGACCGAACACGAACAACTAAGCCACTACAATGATCTACAATGTGTGAATCGTAGTGAAACAAGCGGCCCAATATTATTGAGCACGTTAAGGACATCACTTTGCTTTACAGGTAGCACATGTCAAGAATCTCCCGTCCCTCGTATCAAGAGCTGTCCTCACGCAAGCCCGAAGCATCCTTTCCTGTATTTGGGAACATGCCCCATCCATTCTGAACACGTTTTGCAAAATGGGACTGACTGCACAGCAAAGAAGTATGCCCATTTGACAACCAACAAAGAGCTTTATGCTCGACAGGGCTTCGCCTGCGGCGTCTTCTTGGGTGCAAGCCCACTTCTCCTCTTGTAGTGTGCTGACACGTGACTGGAGCTCCTGTCGTTCTGCACGTGCAGACTCCAACTCCTTCTGGAGGATTTGGCTGGTATTTTCGGTCGTTTGCATGGCAACCGCGACCTGACCCGCAGTCAATCGGAAGTCCTCAGCCATTGACTTGAACTTGTGCGACACAAATGCAACTGGTGGCTCTAGGATTCCAAGATCTTCAGAAGCCCTCTGATTAAGGCGAAGTTTCCCTGATCATGGTCTCCTTCTCTTGCAACTGGTTTTCCATCTTCTGCAGGCTTGCTTTCAAAGCCTTCAGCTCTTCTTCCATTGCAAGCTTCACCACCTCAACAGTTTGGAATCCCATGAGGTCAACATGCTCGTTTCAAGTCATGGCACGAGTCATCGTGCCAGAGCCGATGTAGATGTTTCAACATGTTTCCTTCTTGATCCGTGGTGAGCATCTTCAAACAAACACAAACACACAAATAAACAAATTCAGTACGCACTCACGCACCCTCCCAACTTGATGGATGTCTTTCTCAGGGCCCAAGGATAGTCCAAGGAACTTCCACTCGCCAAAACTCGTTTTGAAGCTCATCTGCGCGAACCGCTGCTGTCATTGAACTTTCTTTCAGGTTTGCTTGCTCTTCCTCTGCCGTTAGCTTCCTGAGAGACACGACGCATCACGAATGAAGATAACAACTGGACGATGCTGGGTCAAACAAAAAATAAATGAGTCAAGCTTACCATTCTCACAGAGGATCTGCTGTTGACAGACCTTTGCCACCTCACTGGCATCCGCCAGTGCTTTGGTCAAATCATGATTCTCGACTTGGAGCCGTCCCACTTCACGTTGCAGTTCAGAAGTTTCAGCAAGGCTCTGCTCCTCAGCAGCTAACAAAACACCAACATGGCCTCAAAGCTTGGAGTGAACATGAAATGGCTAGCCCTTGTAACGAAATGGGGATGGGCACTTCCAAGTGAAGAAAAGCCCACCTGCTTGCAAGGTTCCAATTCAGCTGTCCTTTTCTTCGCTCCACTGGCGACCCGGTGCATTTGTGCCTCTAACTTTTGTGTCTGGCGGTCGGCAGCCAGCCGGAGAACCCGCTGCCAGCCTCGATCAAGTAGAGGCATGTCATCACGCATCCTCTCTACGCAAGAACCGGAATGTAGGAGCTGGAATGTCAAACGTAGGATGCAGCTGCAAGCCGGGTTGTTAGCAAGAGCCACATCATGACATCATGATCGATTTACAGTAACAAATGCTGCAAGTAGCAATTAAACACGGCTCTTGACCAATCTGGGAAACCAGTTCGCCTGAGAAAACGAAACAGTTCATGTCCGGTAGTGGCTGGTAGATGCGGGTAGTTTTGCCGTTCATGCCCGAACGCCCATGAGTGAGAGGTTGCAAATGAGTTTCTGATGTATCTTCGACAGCAGTGAGTGTAACTCCAAACCGCTTCCCCGAACCGAAACACCCGTCCTGTGTACGAGACTCCGCTGATTCGGCCACTGGCGAGTCAAAAGCTTGGAATGTAGCAGGTATCCAGAAAAAGGAGACCTGCCAAATGGAGAGAACCCAAGAAGACTGGGTCCAGAATCCTTCCATTCCGATTTAGTAACAAGTGCCAAGTGCATCGCTATTAGTAGCGATGCACCTTGTTCCTAGTAGCGATGCACTTGTTACTAATAGCGAGCTATATGCCAACATAATTGCTTCAGAAAATGTGGCTCCACATGGCCAAGGCACTCTGCATCTGCAGGTGGAAGAAGAAAAACTTCGAACGCACCGATGCGTTGGTTGAGATCTGGTGTCTCTAGTGGACAACATGAGAGATCAATGCCATCCAGCTGGGAGCAAGCGATGCGCACCACTTCCAAGGCATTCCTACCAGGTGAATGCAAACTACAAGTGGCGCATCTAGTGCCATTCAAGTGTGTGGATGCAACTTGCTATGCTATGCATCTGTGGCACATGCCGTGCCTGTACTCCTGTGGGTCATGACGATGCCAGGATGCATGGGACTCACACTGGTGGCAAGTCTCAACTATTACTATCCACTCGTCTTCGCTGCGCAGCTTCTCCAACCTGGCACCTGCCGCACACCGGGGAACAAACATGTCAACACCTCTTGTGCTGCATACCGCTAGCTTCCACAACGACAACCTGCCGGAATGAAGACAATGGACTTCCCATTAAGCTGCCAGTCAATCGTTGCAATATTCTACAAAAGTGGTAGTGTCCTCCCGCAGCCTCGCTACTAGATGCTACTAGGTATACTTTGGGAAGTGACTACCCCAATATCTCATAAAGCCACGTAAGCTGTCCACCAAATGCATTGCAAACGGCTTTATACAATATAACTGCATATAATGAATATTATTTATATAATATATGATGCATGTCACCATGCCAAGCACGGCCCACCTACCAGGTGAGGTATCCGAACCACTCCGTCCGCCCCAGGTGGCTGCTGCTGTTGCACGATGACAGTCCTTCTCTCTTCGAGTACCTTGGAGCACTGTGAGCTGCTTGAGACGGACTCCGACCACAAACGAATCTTACACATTCAAGTAAGTAGCAAAATGACAAATACACTTGACCTACGGTCTATGCTGTGCGATCATGGTGCCAACAACATGCTTGCAATATCTTGATATTCTATGACATTCTCACAAACAAAGCGCATGTGTACTGTGTACATGTATGTTGTACAATGTCCTCTTTGCTAAGGCACTGCCCAAGGCCCACGGTCCAAACGTCTGGCCACTGCCACTGCCACTGCATTGATTCCATGAGTGCTTAGCACGTGATCATCAGATGCTTTGTGGCTCCGAGTGACCTGATTAAGATTCCGAGACAGATTGGGAGATGTTCCACCAGGCAAGCAGCTTGCTTCAATTGCTTCATGCTTCATGAATGATCTAGTGGAGATGAAAATCGACGAATGGCACTGAGCAAAAAGAACAAAAACACTCTTCTCACTGGCAGTGAATTGCCATTTGCTAAAGTATGCGGTGCACATTCTAACCTCCATACTGACTTTCCAAAAGAAGAAACGTGCTGGGGTCCTGGCCGCACTGGCGCTGGCAGGTCGTTTCAGCCGAAGCTTCTTTGCTTCAGGAGCTGGCCTTCTCTCGGGTCTTTCTGCAACTTTTTAGTAGCATTGTGTTGAAATACTTTGTTAAGCAATGGTTTGTGATGCTTTTCTTGTGATTAGCAGCATGAATTGCATGTCTAGTGACTAGTGACTAGATGCGGGTGATGCGATTTCAGATTGCACACAGAAACTCGGAGAACTCCGGCCTCCCTCCACCTTGCAGCAGAAATGTTTGGGTCCAAGCAGCAGCGTCTGTCATCCATGCTTCCAAGCGTGGGCGCAAGCTACAAAAGCCAGCCCACAAAGCGCACAATTGTGTGTTTGGAAGTGAATGGTCTGCTTGGGCGGATTGAAAAGAGTTGGATGTGTCACTGTAACATTGGTGAGCCGAAGCACATTTGACATTGTCAGGTTGGGACAATGTACTTGTGACAGCTGCTGAGCCAAACTGTGAAATTAACCTGACCAGCAACTGGAAGAGGCTTGTAATTCTCTGGCGTGCGAACGATGCAGCATCAAGGCACATCGAGCGGATCAGTTCCCCTTCACATGCATCATGCCCTCGTGGAACTCAGCCCCTTAGGTGTCCAACTGCCCTCGAGCCAGCAAAGTCCCTCGACAAAGTTCAACCTCAGCGAAGGGAAATGAGCACCTGGCTGCTGGCTATATATAACTCTTAAGGAGAGCCATGCGTCCCACCGATTGTTCATTTGGCAACTCAAGCTTGGATGTACTGCGAAGAGGTGTCACATGGCTTGGGCTCGGTTCCGCACATCAGTTGCCGTGAGTGCGGCGGCCTGTCACTTAGTTAGATCCAAGCCCTGGGACACTTCGGAAAGCAATAAGGAGCTTCTGAATTGTCCACTGTTTCCAGAAGCTTGCGACTTGAGGTAGTTAATTATTGCATTTATTGGCGTATCTTGGCAGAGTAGCACGGCGTATGTTGACTATGCCGTTATCGTTTTCAAAATTATGCAAGAGCTGCCAACAATGTCCATCCATCCATCCATCCAGTGTCCAGGACATGTATTGCCTGCACACGCACCAGTACCTCCTCTGCACTTGGGTTTTGCCGAGGTATTCGAACCTCACCAGACAAGGAAAAGCAATTCAGCCTTTGGTCACCTTAGACTGCCTGCTCAATGACTCATCGGTCTATCATCTTCAAGTCAAAAGTGCCATCACCGAAACCAAAGTTAAGAGGAAAGGCAATGTTTAAACGAATGAAAGAACTGAGCAAAACTGCGACGTGGAGCGACATATTCCTTCTCAACATTCCAAGGTCCGCTCCGTGGAGGCACGTGGTGGCGAGCCTGGAATTACCTGAAGGCCTCGATCCTCTGTCCTGCGATGGGTCCATCGGCCAACCCGATCTGCGCTCAGACACACGCCATCCGCGCAGATCTTTTTTCTCTCTTCGCAGATCGGCGGCACCGTGCGCATCCGTGCGCCTTGGTCGCCAGCGATGTGCCACGACCCGGCCACTCGGCTCCAGTTTTTCCTCAAATCTTTGAAGAGAAAGACGGATCCACCTCGGAGAGCGCTCGCCAAAGGTGCATGTCCTTATACTCGCCAGTCAGGTGTCCTCGGAGAAAAAAAAAGGAAGCACAGGAAAACCACACAGAAAAACACCTGTAATTCGACATTTTATGACATTTGTATGACATTTGTAACTGCAGTTGAGTTTGGAGTGGGGGGACACGCGTGCCTTGGCCCAATCAGTCTGGACAGGCCTATGCTGGACTGATACTTTCTTCCTCGACAAGGGGCTGAAAACGCGTCGGAAACCTGCAGGTATCAAGCGCTCATCTTGCACTAGCTGGCCGCCAGGTTCTTCTCGCCCAGGAACACAGAAAAGCTCCAGCCTGGCAGTTCCCACTCTCTCGAAATCGCAGCATGATCACAATCATTTAAACCTAATTAACATAATTTAACTGCATCGTCGTGGAAAAATGTATGTTAGCCAGCCTAACGAGACCGAGAATGTGCATTGAATCTACACTACACATTTCTCAACTCCTGCGTCATCATGACCGGGCCTTGCCACAGCGCTACAGACATACTGGAGATCCCGGTACATCGTGTCCTGAGCTGGGACATGTGTGAACCATGGCGTGTCTGATTTGTGTTCCAACACATCAAGGTACAGCCAACACATCAAGCACTGCCTCCAAGTCTCGACGAAGGTTAGGTTTGCAGGATCGTCAAAAAACGCTTCGTTCTCCACCCAAATCAACGGCTTATTCTCACGAATGGTCTTTGTGGCGCCAAGGACAACCTGGAAAGTGAAAAGGCTTCCCCTTTCTGTAAAACTCTGGTGGCATGGCGGAGTGCAAGTTGAGGTATTGCAAGCTCATATTTAGGGACATCTCTTTCTTCAACCCAAACTTTACGGCATCCTTTGCTGTGCAACTCTCATCACATCAATATTTATCGCTCCACCTGGAGCTCCATGAACTCGACGTCGATCTTTATGAGTTGGACTCGCCGGCTGAAGACGAACTCATCCAGCGGCTGCACATTGAGTGTCTCTTGCCGATCCTGCGGTAAAAAAATCATTCACGAACCATTTACAGTAGGTTGGAGGCCATCGCTTCTAGGTTGGCGGCCATCGCTATTAGGGGGAGGCCATCCTCATTAGGTTGGAGGCCATCGCTATTAGGTTGGAAGATGCATTTGTCAATTCATCCGCTATAAGACTTTAGGGTTTCGAGATCTCCTGTCCTCATAGCGAAGATTGGCCTCTTTGACTGCGGCCTCCGGCTTAAACTGATCCAGCACCCGAATGGCCGAGGGAAAGTTGAAGTTCGTGAGGTCTGGCGAGTAGGCAGGAACTTTCGCCTTGCTGGCTCCCAGCGCCACATTATATGTGTACACATTGCCAAGGCCATTCAACGCAACCTCAGCGACAGGTTGGGATAAGACTATGTCTCAAACAGCAGTCTTGCAGCTTCCCATTTCAAGCCTGTTCCTACGCGGTGTTTACTGATATTCATTCCAAGCCTGTTCCTGCTCAAACCCTTCCGACCTTCTTCACGATTCTCCTCGTAGAGTTGGCAGGGTATTTCAGCATTTCAGCACAATCTGTTTCAACTCCTGTATTCCGCATCATGTGTTTTCGCCTTTTAGTCAACTCTGATATTCTATGGTCTTCATGATGTTTGGGGAACTTGACGTCTAAGCCGTCTAAGCCTAGGCCTCTCAAGGCCAACAAGGATGTGACTATCGGCCATGAGTCTCTCTGCTCAAACGAGGTGCATTGGCATTGAGGTGCTGGAAAACCTGTTCAAAGGAGTTTCGACTGACTCCACTACCAGGAGGCACCTCATCTGCACCCCCCAAAACCGGTCACTCAGAAAGGCGAGATTTCTCCACTAGTCTATGCAGAATCTGTTTTATCCAGTTACATTTTCTTGTGGTGTTCTATGCCGGGGCACTCCTATGGCAAACAGCCAACACACTCGAAAAAACCAAGCGCGCCAGTGTTCGTTTCGACGCCTTGCGGAAGGGCTCGAAGGCATGGACCTCTCCATCAGGCCCCACGCGTTCAGCCAATGGGACGGTGAAGCCGCCCACATTGGCACCTCCGTTGGATGCCGGAGGTCAGATCCGCTGGGCTCACAGATTTCAACAGTTCAACGTTAAGCCCTGACTCTGGAGGAAACAAGGGTGGATTATGTAACTCTATTCAGCTAAGGCCTAAGGCCTCCCTTGTCAAGGAACCTTGACATACCTCAAGCAGCAACTGGTGGAACGCGTGCAACCTGGGTAAACACAATGTCAAACAAATATACTAGTCTTGGACCGGATGGCCTACATCGATGACCACATCACCTGATCCGCAGAGCGTCTGCAACGCGTAGGATTGGCCAAGGTCGAAGGTACCTAGCTGCCGTACAGCATTGCCAACGTTAATGTCAAAGGCCGGGGCAACGAAGTAATGTGGCATCTCTGCCAAATTCACATCCTGGAAACGGTGAATGCAGGACAAAATTGGCACGCTCGAATTCTGACCTGATATGATAGAACTGAAAAGAGTAGCCTGACTCACGGCCGCTTGCAACATCAACTACAGACAGTACCTCACGTTCCTGTACGTACTAAGTCACGCTGCGGAAAAAACGCATGTCCAAAATGCGCTACGCCACGCCAAGAAACCCCAAGGCAGCAAAGCTCATAGGTGAAGTACTCATCCCAGCATTCTGTTCGGCCTTGCGGACCGTAGCTCGTATCGCAGCACTCCGAGGCCTCAATGTTGTTGCGGTGGACACCTGCGAAACTGTCAGGTTTTCCACGTGGATGATGTGGATGCACATAGCTGGTCGATTCAAGAAAAGAAACGTGGAAGATGTGGAAGAGGTACTGAGGTACTTATTGAACACTTCCTTGGCACCAGGTTCTGAATCCGCTTTGTCTTGCAGGATTGGCAAGGTCTTTCTTCGATCAACTGCGCTTGTAAACCCCCAGGCCCGGCCGTGCGCCTACTTGATCCAACCAGCACAGCTTTGCACCACTGGTGGAGACTGGTGGCCAAGTGTGGTGGGCAGTGACCAGGGTTGGATAGTGGATGCCTCCGGCAAAAACGGCCTTCTCTCGTGGACGCCAGCGGGTCCGAAGTCGGTAGAGGCACTCGATGAAGGCCTGGAGTATATAACTCTGGTTGTTGGGCACCATGACTTGGGCACGACTGGTGGGTCATCGATATGGAAGTGAGGCTTGAGTTTGAGCTAGAATCTAGAAGCGCTGCTCTTCATACGTCATACGTTTGCCACATGCGTGGGCACATGAGCGCTGCACAATACAAAGGCACAAAAAGACCTGCTTGTAATTATAATCTTATACGGGCTTATACTCACTTATACGGTAGACTCTACCAACCCAAAACGTGAACTGATGCGCATCCCCGCCATCTTGTTGTCCTGATCCAGCCAGCTGCTCCTTGGCTGACAGAAAGGATGAAACAAAAAGTGATAAGTCATGTCATTCTCAGCCGTTTGCCTGAGCTTTCCCTACATCCTCTCCAGGAGTCGGAAATACAAGATAATCCGCCTTCACCTTAAGGCCAGCAGAAAGCATACTGCCATCTCACAGACAGTGTTTCGATTGGCATGAGGCTGCAGCACCCCGAACAAAGAACACCACCCACGGGTGGACCGATCAAATACCTGCATCCAAACCAGACCTCACCTCCACCCAAAACCAGGCCAATCAAAAACCTGCTCCATCTCTCTCGATCCTCTCGTCTGTCTCCCCGGGACACCGAGCTGAAAGTTCTCTGCGGCGAAGTCCGTCTCCTTGAAGCGCTGCAGGCACGCCTCGCGGCCGCGCACCTCCGCCGGGCTTTCGGGCAGCCAGTCATCGCGAGCGAGCCTCGTGCCCAGAGCGGACGTGGTGCAGCCGGTGGGGAAAAGAAAGCCACGCAAACGGCTCGGAGGAGGCAAATGACTGTTTGGTCTACGGAGTGCTTGGAAAGACCAGTTGGAAACCTGGCGGGGGGGCCAAGGAATTCATGAAGCTTGACAAAGTATGCCCTTGTCCGCTCCTGTCACCTGGGTTTCAATCCAAACATCTCAAAAACAGCTCGTCAAAGGAGTCCTCTGTGGTCCATGGACGTCCACGCTCCCAACAGGCAAATTCCCGTCGTTTGGGCAAGGTGCCCAACATGTAGCAAGCTCCCAAGCCAACATGCTCGCAGCATTGCACGACATGAGAAGTTGATTGCAGTTTGTGATCAACTTTTGGGCTCGCATGGTGATGCTATGTGTTGCTAAACCTGCTCAAGCCACCTCTCTCGAATTGAATTTCCTTGTTGTTCTCTTCCTCTCTATCTGTTATAACATGGCCCTGTCAGTTCTGCAGTGATGCATGTTGAGGGTTTCCCTTAGGCTTGTGAAGAAGCTCTTCAAAAACGAGGACCAACAATTTCAATGACTAAAACACAAATTCATCAATCCACTCAACCTTATAATCTGCGCAATCAATTCCATCATGGCAACTTGATGTAGCCCGTGCTCCAGGGCTCGATTCATTGTACCCAATGGAGGTCTCGTTGGGAAAACACACCAAAGCATCACACATCGAAGCGGGGCTTGCAAAAACGTTCTTCACTGCACACCACTCCTCGGCCATGTTCAATCCCCCTCGTGTATATAGACTCTATATGAAGAGGCTTTACAATCCAAATTGGGTGGCTCCATTATTTCCATTAATCAATATTCTAATATATTCTACATTAATAATCAGTAAGTTAAACGTCATTAATACAACCTGAGAAGGGGGGTGAAAGCCGGACGCCGTAAGAAAACGTCAAGGTGGTCACGGGGTGAAGTCGACAGCGCACTTCTTTTGCTGTCAGGCATGCGGAAATGCAGAGAGGTGCAAAGTCTCGCAGCGAGGGCCGGTATGATATACGCATGGCCTTGATCAAGCCCCATTCAGTGTTAGCGGGTAAAGGATAGAAGTAGAGCCCATGCGTTAGGAGAAAGGTTGAATTGAGCAGGACATTTGCAGTCCGGGGGGCAAAGCTTGAATTGAGCAGGACATTCACAGGTCGAGGGGGGCAGCCTTTCTCTTTTGGTTCAGGTGCGTTTTCGAGGTGAAAAAGGGCACCCCTAAGTAATTGAGGGGGTGTGTGTTTCTCCTGTCTTGTGCTGATCAGAGCGGACCGCTGAGCTGAATGTTTACTGCCAAGATCAGGTGATTGTAAATCATCGAGCACAGATGACTGTTGTTGTGGGGCGAAGTCGGCATTGCACTGACCTCTACTGCTGTTGGGCTGTTAGGCCGGGGAATTAGAAGGCAGAGAGGCGAAGAGTTTCGCATTGAGGCTCGATATGATAGAGCCTATCTACACAACGCCTGGATCAACTCCTATCCGCCAACACCTGTCATAGGATAGACTTCGGCTCGTACAAAAGTCAGTCCGACCCCCTTGGACATCTACAGCTTGGAGGGTGGTCTTTTGCATCCAGTTAACAGCCCTCTTCATCATAAAAAGGGGCACCCCCAAGCAACTCAAAGGAGAAAACAAAGGGCTGAGAGACGCACATCTCACTTTCCTGGTGGGCTTCCGACCTCTTTTCCGCCCCCCCTTTCCTGTCCTCGACATGAACTCCCACCCCTTGTCGAAAGACTGTCCAAAAAGCCTATGCACACTATTCGGCGTCAATTCCATCACTCGCATCACAACACCCCAAGAACCATATATGTTCACTGCCTTTTGGACCGCCTCCTATATTCGCTCTCCCCAACCAGGCTCTGGGTCACCCCCCCTATACTCACTTCGTTCGCCCATCGGCAACTCCAGCCTAGCCTATCGGCGGACTTTCGTGATATATATATATATATATATATATCCCTTTGGAATTGATTCAATTGCACTTCCCAAAAAGTTCTGTTGATTCTGAGTCATTGCAACACTAACTATATAATTATGCCACGATCTGGTGCTACAGGTTCGGCACGCACGGCAGGGCTCCTCGCCGCATCACTCTGCTTGAGAGGTGCTCCCATTGGGACAACATGCGCTGGACGAGCGGTGGCCACTGTATACACTGGTATTTACAAACCCGTATTGCGCAAATCATGATTGGCCAACTGCCCGACGGACACAGCCTTTTATGATGAACCCTCTGTGTGGCTGCTACCAGTCTTGCAATTAAGGAGCACTGCTTGGTGTTTGGGGCACTTTTCTGCAGCTGATTTCAACCTTTGAGTGTGCAGGGCTGATGATAGAATGTGTTCACATGCCGCATGATCAAGGCATGCAAAAGGACTGGTCTGGTACGGCTTTGGGGTAGGTGTGTTGCAGCAGCATTAATTTGATAGCTGAAGGCAGCCTAGGCTTCGAACCAGAATGCTGGATGCATGGGCTTCAAGCTGATGAGCTTATTGTCAAAACAACTGCACATGCAAATGAGCTGTGTGCCGGCCTTTGCCAAAGTCCGCTGTCTGCCTATGGAAAACTAAAAACCCCTGCCCAGTCCATCAGACTGGCTCACCATTGTAGGGAGGCTCACCTGACGTTGCACTTCCCTTACAAGCCTTTCACTCCATACCAGGGTTGAGCACCAAGAACAACGGCTAAAGAATGGTGAAAAAAGGAGCGTCTTTGACAAGCGATGAACAAAAGCATCCTATATCGTGATTATCAAACGAGCTCGCAGCCCAAAACGAAACATACAAAAACCCAAAATCAATGCCACAAAAGGAGGAAAGCGAGACTGAAAGGAGGGCGTGGCATGGTTTACTCAGACGGAGACGATCTCAAATGTAACATAGTGTGACATGGTTGGCTCAACGAACCCCTTCCTTGCTCTCTTTCATTGTGCCTGGATTTCGCATAAAGTGGAGCGGAGATCGCACGGCGTCAGAACCATAGTACCTTGCTTTTCAGGTCAGGGAAAAAGAAACGAACACTGTTAAAGGGATCCTTTAAACAAGGAACAAACTTGAAAAATAAACACATAAGTCCGACTAAGCAGCCATCCATTCCCATCCAGCTTTTGAAACAGGCAATGTCTCGCTGACACCTCAAGTTCCAAAATGATGAATGTGGGCTCTTGCTCCTAAATTTCAAGCAGGTATTCAAGATGTCGCTTCCCAGATCAGGGTTCTTCTTCTGCGCTCCCTTCGCAACATGTAACAATCCAAGGATTCCAGGCTCCTCAAAGACAACCTACGTGGGCCATTTCGTCAAGAAGCGGTGCCCTCCTCCGGAGTCTTGGAGGCACCAAAGCCTTTGGTCATCGCTGTGTCGATGAAGCCTTCAAGAGCATTGGCTCATTTATATATAAGAAAAATAATAGGGGGGAGGCCATCGCTATTCACATGCATCCTCCATTATGGGCAAAGGGCTTTGCATGTGGGCCAGGCCTGGACTGCAGCAGCTCACTACAAGATCTGGATGTTGCTTGGCAAGCAACATGGTGTAGCAGTGGAGCAGGGCCTCCATCAATGTCAAATTCTAGCTGCCTGTAACATTGACAGCAAAGAACGATGCAAAAGCACATGAGACAAGACATCGCATACAAAAGCAAAGGACATGCGGTACCTTTTGCCTTCGACTGCACTCACACGACAAGTCTCCTGCAACGAATTCCAGCAGCAAGTTAAGCCACTTCAAGGTAGAACTTGTCCACCCCAAGCTGCGGTTTTTGTGGTCTCTTCACTCAACGATCACTCGATGAACAGAACAAAAGTCATGCCAGCCAGAAAGGATCATGATCTTGATGTAGGCGATGTCACCACTCTGGCATGCAATGTCCTTCACTTGCAGGCGGCCTGAAAGCTCCTCGATATCATCTTCAGCCAAGGTTTGAAAGTTCACCGGGTCTTCCTCAGAGCAGCCTTCTATTCGAATGCCCTTCACATTGGTGGAAGAGATTTTCACACTTGACACTGATGCTCGCTGGCTCAGTGCCAGCAAGATCTCCTGGGGATACAAACCGGTTGATATCCAGTAGCTGTCTTCTCTGCCATCGATGATATTGTCACCCGGGTGGTTTTCATCCAGGGATGAGACCATGATCACCTTTCCACCCACTTTCTTGGATGCAAGGTCCGGCATCGTCGTGGGACCGGTCCGGCTTTACCACGACTACGTCGTGTCTGAATCCCTACTTCGAACTACTGGCCTTGAGCCAATAAGGAGCGCATCCGGGACAGAACCATACAGAACCTAAGTCACCTTTCAGCCATTGCCTGCAAGTCACCTAAGCCATTACCTAGCCGAATATGTTTGCTCATCAATTCTGCTGGAACATGCATCTATTCAAATCCGACACGGCATCCCACCTTGGAAAGGCCATATCCGCCCATGCCATCAGCTGCAGAGCCCAGCCCAGACTTGGAATGTTCCAAGATCTGTTCCCAAGTGATCTCGGGGCTACAAAGCCTGAGCGATGAGAAAAGAGAAGGCACCGGCGTTTCTGCCCAAAAACCACAGAAATGGAACTATGATGACCTATGTAATGTGGCGTAGGTCATTTGTAGAGCCAAGCCTTTGAGTCTTCTTTAGTCTCTCAAGTGCAGTTGAGCTGCATCTTTTTCACCTTGGCAGCGGCTTGTGGATCAGTAGATGATAGATCGTTTCTTTTCTCAGGAGTGTCTGTCGACATTCAACCGAGCAAGTTGACCTAGACAAGAAACAAAATGCCGATGGCAGTGACACAAACATGAAGCACACTAGGCACCTCACATCAGGAGAGCCTAGGCTATGCAGTACGGTCTTGCAAACGAAAGGGGTGATGGGCCCCAATTTTCATCGATCCAGACCACTCTGGGATGATCCGCATTCAATATTGAAAATTAACCAGTGGAAGTTGCAGAAGTGCCCAATAAAAGATGCGTTTGCGACGGCATTTAGAAGTGGGAGGCAGCCACACTGGGTAAGAACCCCAATTGATTTGGAAGATAAACCTTGATTGTTCATCTACCTCTTGTATTACTATGTTCCATAGAAGGGTTCCTGTGCTGCCACAAAGCTGATCATTACCCTGAACACTCCCTGAACTTTGAGCTCTACCAATCCAACCCCCGTGCACACATCCGTCAAGCAGCACTTGGCCACATACATCGGCCCAGCACCAGACCCCATGTTCACAATACGTCCGGACTTGTCCAGAAGAGGCAGAAAGCCTCGCCCAAAAAAAAGACGTTGGATTTGGAATCTCAAAACCCAAACAAAAAGCTTGAACTCGAACCGAACGCACGCGCACAAAAAACAAAAATATATTTACTTAAAAAAAGAAACATGCACTCAGTGGTGTCGCGCCTTGATCTCCTGATTATTGTGGTGAGACATAATTATGGTGGTTGATCTACTGTAACTTTATTCTTACGGAAACGCATTATTCGCGAATCCATGTTTAACTTTCGTGAGTGGTTATGCTAGTGGTCTTCTTGGTTTAGTTGTTTCCACACACCTATCTTTCGGAGATCTTTCGCAAAAAGAAAAATCTTTACTTTCGCGAAAACAAAACCATTTTAGCGGACAACATAATAGACTCTCAATTCTCAATGAACCTAGGCCTTATGTCGACATTTTCGTCAACTACCATTTCTCATCGGTCTCATCGAGTACTTGTTTGAGGTGTTGCTTTCGCACTCAGGTTGCCTAGCTGTGACTGACAGCAGTGAGACTTTGCACACATGAAAAGGTAGAAAAGTAGTGGACCATGTGGACGTGGTCTCAAAAATCACACATCACTGCTGAACGCCTGACTTGGTCTCACACACGCCTTGTGAAGCTAACACACGGAAGATTGGCGCCATGGAAAACACATTCAATCCCCAGCTTCCAGTGAAACATAACGCTGAGTTTCTGCTTGGGCACCCAGGCGATGGAGCTTGAATCGGCAAATACGGGCATAAGCTGCTTGCATGTGTGTGTGTGTGTGTGCGTCGTGTGCGTGTTTGAGCTACAAAGTAAATACATAAAAGGACTCATTGAAAGACATGAAACACATGTGGGTAAGACAGTCATGGACTGCATGCATCCCCGGTCGACAGGAGCACGACACGCACTCGTGACCCACTCTGTATTTCTGGTGAGGCCCTTTCTGAGCGATCAAGTGTTGGGCACTTCCATGTCTTTGCCTTGTTCTTTCTCCGGACATGCGTCAATCCACTCGTTTCGTACGTATAGAACATGGACATCTCCAAAGCCCTCTGGTGCCTTCCACCACTCTCTTGGGCCCGAAGAGGTTGGTGTTCAACACCTGGAAGCAAGCGGGGAAAACCGGAGAGCATTAGGCCATCACCGTGGTATAATTACTACGAAAGCGAGTTGTCACCAAGCTCTGCGGCACTTCATATTCGTCATTGCAAGTGAAACGTGAATCGATTGAACTTGGAAGTTCCTGAGCTCGGGGTGACAATCCGGCCTCTTCTGGCCCAACACCGTGATTGAGTCCAGTACCAGCATTGTTGACAACCGCATACAGCTGCGAGCCCTCCACTTCCAGACTGCCTCGCTGGCTGGCTATGGCCAAAGGTGTCAACACATGTCAACACAGAACTGGCATTGTGAAAAATATGTGGCGACAACTATGGCGACACCAGTCTGCCAATGGTCACATTATCCGACAGGGGTCCTTTCCACAGAGGTGCCAAAATTGCGACATATTGTGGCAGCTACCCAGGTGGCTGATGTGGCTTGTATACTGCTGTATGCTCAACCCGCGTTATGTCAATTTGAAGCAACAGCGTGTCGGAAACTTAATTTGATATGTAATTAGGACTGATGGACAAACAAGTCAGAATGTCAGACAAGGCGCCCTTAACGGCAGCTACAGCAGAGGCTACAGAAGCATCCGAAGAGGTGTCCAGCTGAACGACTTCACATGTGCCTTTACACGAGGCCGGCAGGCCGTCCTGGCGACAAAACACCCGAAAAAGAATGCAATGGCAATTCCCAGACACTCCATGTATGCCATATATGGTGGTTTTGGGGGGGTCAATTGTAGGTAAATATGGCATACATGGAGTGTCTGGGATTGGCAAATCCGGTTCAGAACCTGGTCGGCCGAGATTCCATAATGGTCTTCGCAGCTGCCGTGCCCTTCTCCATAGATCGGGAGCCCAGGTAGACGTGACAGCCGTGGTCATAGGTCAGCTGCTTGCACAAAGCAAAACCAATTCCTGCATTTCCTCCTGCCGAAAACCGGAAGCTACTAGGGGTTCCTGGCCGTACTACTAGGAGCAAGGTTCGCTACGAACGGAACGAAGGGCATCGCTACGAACGGAGCGATGGGACGCTACGAACGGGGCATCGCATGCCTGCATGAAGGCCAAGAGTTTGCTGTGGACAATGGGAGTGGACACAAACCCAAAACGACGGCACGGTCGTTCATACATGGCGACATAGTCAATGTGTATATATATATATACTATACATTAGATATGCATACATGGGTGTAAAATGCCTATATACATGCAGCACCACACTAGAATAAAGTTCCCAACACCAGTGCAAAGCTTGGTTTGCAGCAATGTTGCACAGCTCCTGGCCTGTCACCAGGATACGCTGAGTCATGCGAGCTGGAACGAACTGAAATGATTGAGTTTACAGCACACGGCTGCGGTTGACACTGAACTAGGGGAACAGCAGGCCTTGAGCATGCCACGTCCACTGGAGCGCTCAAACCTCTTCAAGCATGTATATAGGTTGACGTGATCAGCTCAATCTTCTTGACTTCCCTGGAGAAGTACCACTTATTCGGTACTTTTCTCGCGGTGGCTGCACTTGTCCACGCATGATCTGGGTGAAACACAAGCGCTCGGCTTCCGAGCTTGATACAACCTGCCTCTCTTCAAGGACTGGTAAGCCCTTGAGGTGAAGCCCAAGGCAGAACCGAGGTAAAGACCATTCAAACCAGAGTTGGTCGCCTGATTGGCCTCATTGGCAGATACAGGCGAAATTGCTACGCTAGTTTCAAGATGTGAGGCTAAAACCAGGTATATAGACTTATCTGATCATTTTTCCTCTGCCCACAAACGTGGAAACTGCATGACACCGCAGAAGGATTCCAACGCATTCCTTAATACATTCAATAAATTTGAGTATATATGCAATGCCTTGGCCTTGGCTAGGTGATGCATTGGACACTCTGTTGGTGAGACGCTGACAAGGGATACTACGTACGTCTTCCAAACCCAAATTATAGCTGCCAAAGTCACAATGACAGGGCTGCCCCGCCTACAATCACAACAGGCAAACGCGTTGTACATGTTGCCATGAGGTTGCAAAGGCTATTTGTGAGCGGCGCTTTGACGCTTTGCTGCAAAAACTATCAACTCGCAAGCAGGACCCTGGTGGGGGAGAGCGAAGAAAAGTATTTGCTGGGAGCGGTTTTTGGGGTGTTGTGATGCAGGAGATGTATTTGGCGGCCATTAGTGCATCATTGGCATGATGAGGGGCTCAGGAGGCAATCTAAACCATCTTCTAGCAGGGGTGGGAGTTCATGTTGATGATGGGACAACGCGACGCGAAAAGTGGCAGGAACTCCTCCAGGAAAGGGAGAAGTGCGTCTCTGGCGCCGATTGAAATAGCGTTCGGCCAGGGGTGACAGAGAGGTGTCTCTCTTGAGATACTGTGCGATCTGTGAGGGCAGGAGAACCGAATGCAGTGGCAGTGGGCAAGCTTTGAGTCACCCATATGGAGTGGGAGTTCATGTGCAGGATAGGCAGCGCGCGTTGTTCCACGGTGATCTTAGCAGCACGCGGACTTTATGAGTCTATCTGCAGCACAAAACAAACAAACAGCAGGCAAGCGTACCTCAGTTACTTACGGGTGCCCCCCTTTTTATCTTCAAAGTGCCCATTGAGCAACAAGAGCAGGGACACCCCACTCCCCCACCTCTGACTGAGAGCCTGTCATATTGACCTTTACTGCGGCTCTCCACCTCTGCCTTGTATTTCCTCTCGACGACACCCCCCATTGCCATATTGATGTCTTCTTACGGAGGCTGGCATTCGTCCCCTCCCTTCTCTTGTATATACTGCTGGGTGTATTCTAGCATAACTTGAGCCAGCTAAGCTATACAGCTTTAAGTGTCGCCGAAGGGTGAGGTTGACTCAGTTTGTGTGGTCAGTTAACTGTACGCTTTGAGTTAAGCGTCAGTCCAGACAAGTGCTGACTTGGCTGGATCTCAATTTGCTGTGTTGTGCCTGGGGATCTGTGCGAATTGTTGCGCGTCTCGTGGTTCTTCGCCGTGAGAAGGCCATTCCAAAACGAAGGCCACAATGAGTTGCTTCCACCTTGCGAGCCACCCAAGATCAAAGACAACCATTCCAGTCCCTACAAAGAAGATGCAAACTCAGCAGCAAAACAGAGTGTCATTTCCACTCAGCAACTCCAGTACAGAGTGAGCGCATGACTTTTGCTTGCTTCCCTCTGTGGAACCACGCATGCGGAACCCTCTTTTGGCTCTTTGGCACACATTGTGTCTCATTCAATACTTGTCCTCGCATTAGCGTTGTGCTAGTATCTCATTGTCTCCCTGGCCAGGTTCAGCCATATGTTTAACACATTGGGGTTCACCCTGCGAAATTCACCCGTGTGCGACCACCCCCCCCCACACCCCCTAGACTCACTTTGCTCGCCAAACCCAACTCCAGCCTAGCCTATCAGCCTATCGGCTGGCTTTCGTGATATATAGCCATATCTAAGTCATCCACTGTAAGTCACCTTGGCATAAGCTTGCCTTAGCCTTGAACATCCTTGAACTACCTTATAGAACAGCCTTAACTTAACATGCAGCGAACTCCCTACTGAACAAACTCAACGCGTTGCTAACTTGCTACATGAAAAGCGCTCAACTCTAAGTTAGCTGAACATCTCATTGCCGAGTGGGATGAACCTTTTTGACGTGCAAAGCCTTGCAAATGACATAAGCTTCCTGTAGATATGGGCAAATGTACCGTACCCTTTGTGACCCCTTTCTGCGTCAGTACAGCAGGCACTGTAGCATTCTCATTTCACGGTGTGTCCAAATAGAGTCTTTTGTTTTGCGCGCACCTTGCCACGCTCTCAGCTCATCGGCGGACAGCTTTCCATCGTGGTTCCTAGGCCCATTGAGAAAGATTTTGGGCTGAAAGCTGAGGATCTGAGACCTTCTGCTTTCAGCTCTGCACAAATCTGTGATGAGTGGCAAATCCAACATGCTGAAGGTGTCCAATTGCCTCTCCATGTTTTCTTCCTCTGGGCCTCAGTTATGGGCATCACAAGGCTTGTGGCAGAGACTGTGATCGATTCAGCTTCTGAGCAGGTGGCTTTTCTGGTCATGTTCAGAGTCCAACCTCAAGCTTTGTCAAGATGTGTCAAGTGGATTTGGCCAGTGAAAAAACAGACACAAAACCGACAACAAGCAGGTTGCATTTGCCCCAGGTCAATGTTCAAAACATCTCATCTGTCTTGCTCATCAAGGCAATTGCAAGGCTACCCAGCCGTCTCTCGCTGGCAAGCAGCAAATCCAAGGCAAAGGACTCCGGCTTCCGTGCGACTGACAGCAGAGCGCCTCGCACAAATCTGCCAAGTCCCAATACAGAACAAGCTATGATTGATACTTTGATGCCATGTGTACGTAGGAAACGCTTGCTATGAACGTTGTTACAGTCTTGAAAGCTGCTGACTCCGAGTGACAAAGCACAGGAGCAAAGCACTTTGGTGGCACAATGTGATGCATCCTGTTTCTTCTTTGTGCATCCTGCCTGCAGTCTTAGTCTTGGTCACCAGGACTTTGGCGTGTTGAGGGTTCCACTTTTGGAACTCTTGCATTGTAATTTCTCCATCTCCATTCCTTTCCATCCTTAACGGTTGGAAAGTGCCACCATATACACACACACTAAGAAGGTAATTACTAACTATACAACATGCACAACTTGAAATAGTCGGTAGCATACTTGGACATCATCCAATAGTGCTGAAGTGCCCCTGGCCAGCGCAACTGCATTCATTCGTGCAAACCAAAAATGCCGAGCATCGAAACAAAGTCGTTCTCCGGCTCCCACTTCCCCAATTCTCCCGCAGTGACAAGCCCATCTCCATCAGCATCTAAGCTACCTATATTGGCTGAGGGTACCAACTTGGTGCTTGTGTTCACTTTAGACGGCTAGAGGCTAGAGCACTGTACAGCTTCCTCAAGGAGCAACATCAACGTTTGACAAATATACAGTACATGTAGTGACTGTATTGGCCAGATTGTGTCAAGTGACGGAAGTCCTTCTTCGGCTCCGGCAGTGGCGGCTGCTTCTTCTTGCCTGGGGTCTGATCGGTATGAACAACCTGACTGCATCCACCCCATGTTCATGCTGGCCTCGTGCTGTGTAGGCTGCTGCCTCAGAGGCAGCCTGTTGGGCTGCCTCGGCACCCACCAAGTCAGGTGAAGGCAGCTGAAGCGCTCGAGCCACGGCCACCTGAGCTAAAGCAGAGTTTCGGTTTGGACCAGCAGGTGCTGCAATCTGACCCCGAATGTCTCATGACTTTCTTCTTTTCGCCAGCTGCGGCAAAAACAGGGCAAAAACACTCCCGATCATTCCCGACTCTGCTGATCAAGTTGCTGCTGCGTCGGCGGCGCTGCGGCGTAGTTCCTCTGTGCTTCCACCCTCAGAGGCGCTGGCACGTCCGGCAGCACGGCCAGCAGAAAGGGCAGCCAAGCGAGAGGCCTTGTAGCCAAAGCGACGGATCTTCAACAAGCCTCTAGCCTGCTGAGCCTACTGGACCTCAAGGAGGTCTCGACGAAGAACAGCAAACAGAAGGGGCACTGAACACGTCACTTGTGGTCAAATTCGGGAGGTGATGAGAGAGAAGGTCTACACGTACTAGTACAGTGCAAAAATAAAACAGTATGCAGAAAATTGTAATGAATTGTACAATATAATGTGTATATATATATATGTGTGTGTGTGTATTTTTGTATATTCACTGTATATACTATATATATGTGGACAGCAAGAATATGCAAGAATATGCCATGAGGTCTGCCGAGATCTGCTGCAGAGTGGTGAAGCAGCAAAGCCAGCAGTGAAACATGAAAAAGCACTAGACACATCTACACACCGGACATTCAAACATGTTTTTCGAACAAAAGGATCGATGAGCTATAGCGATGCTGCTGGCAGCCATCTGCTGGCAGGGCACCACCGCGGGTGTCAGTTGCAACGATGCCGCTGCCCTTTGAGCCGCCGCGGCAGCAGCTCGTTGCACTCGCTCCTGGCTCGCACCAGCATCAGCAACTGCTTGGGCTGCAGCACAGCCAGCGGCCTTGGCGGCCAAAGCAGCGCGGTCCTGAAGCTGCACAGATTGTGAGATCATCACAGTATTATATAGTGGTAGAGATTGGAAACGGCATGTGTTGTGCCTTGCGCTGGCCACTGTTTCGTTCTAGATGAGTTTATACATTTATCACATGACGATCACTTCATTAAACCACTCATCGGCACTCTGCGTGTCCTCGTCTGCCAAACCTTTGCTGGCAGCCACCACTGCGTGCACAGCAAGTTTGGAAATCTCCTGCACATTGAGGAAGAAGATCTTTCCTGCAGTAATGGCCCCCCCTGCTGCAGCATGCATCGTCACTGCTTCCAATTGCTTCAATGTTAGACCCAAAGTCTTAGCTGCTTGGAGGGCCGCCATGGTCGCATCTTCTGCCATAGGCTCTGGGCTGTCATGTGCATCAAATCTGGGAAGAGCTTCAGCTATTTCCAGGCCCATGACCACTGCCACCTCCTCTGGTGTCATTCCTGCCAACTGTGCTGCACGCCCGGCCAGCTGTGCGACGATCGAAATCTCTTTCACCGCCTTGGCTCGACTCATTTGGCCCCCGGCATGTTTGGCAGCAAGCCCTGCCGCTTGCCGAGCAGCTGGGGGGATCTTCAATTCATCAGCTTCCTGGGCGGCCGAACGACCCAAATCTTCGGCCACCGCCGTGGCACCGGTGTCTGCTGCAGCCTCCTGAGCAACTTTCTGGGCCTCTGTAAGAAGCCTCTCGCCGTAGAAGGAGGGTTCTGCCTCGCTGAAGCTGAGAGCAGCAGCTCTGGCCACAGCTCGAGCTAGGTCTAAGCGGCCCAGCTGTGCTTGTAGACCCACTTTCCTTGCATACAGCACGGCAGTTTTCAAAACCTTCGCTCTGGTCTTGCCTGTGTCGATGGCGCTGGTAGCTACTGCCAATGCAGCGGCCAGAGTCGAGGCTTCGGTGATGATCTGCGGAGTCCACCAATTGGCAGTCACTTTCTGCACAGCCTGGACTGCAGCTGCAGCCATAGCGTCGATACTCTCAAAACTCTTCTCACCTGCCCGACTTGCCGCTGAGCCAGCCGCCAAGGCAATGCTGCAAGTGGCATCGGTGCTTTTCAATCGCAACGCAGCTGCTGCTTCAAGCGTCGCGTTTGCCGCCAAGACGGCTACTTGGAGTGCATCTTTTGCAGTGCCCGCCTCCACTGCAACAGTTGCGGCCTCTTCTGCCATGACAGCAAGCTTCTGCTTCAACGTCAAATTGGACAGCTTGGGATTTGAAATTGCCATTTCGCGTGTGGCTTCCACTGCATTGTCGACTTTCTTCGTCGGAGTGCTGTTGCCCAAGTTTGTGAGTGTCTCCTCAGCCGTTTCAACCGCTGTGTCAACCACCTCCTGAGTCCCCTTGCCTGAAGCGATTGCAACTTGCAAAGCAGCCTCAGCTGCAGCCACGGTGCTTTGCGACACAGCTTCTTCTGCTTTCAGCCCATGGGTGACTGAGAAGGAAAACACCGCGTTTGCTGCTGCACCAGCTGCCTCTTTCGGCCGTTTGCCTTCGGCCAAGGCCTCTTCAGCTGCTGCAGACCCCACGGCGGCAGTGGCGGCAACCACAGCCACTTCTTTAGGCGCACCTAAGTCCTGAACGCCCTGCTGAGCTGCCTTTGCGGCAGCTGTGATGTCTTGCTCAATGCCGCTCGGGTGAGATGCGATGACGCGGCCTGCAGCTTCAGCTGCAGCTTGAGCTGCCTGAGAATAACTCATTCCAGCATCTAGCGCTGCCTGAAATGCAACGTTGGCAGCCACCTGCGCAGCCTGTTGAAAGTTGCTTGACAAAGCTAAGGCCTTGTCTGCAGCAGCTTTGCTCGCTGTTTCAGCTGATCTCATGGCGGCCTGCGTCTTTGTCATCCCTGTAGCTAGAGCAGCTCTGAATGCAGCTGTGGCAGCCACCGCCCCCAGCTTCTTCGGAGATGCATCTCTTGTACTAGCTTCATCCGCTGCTGCGCGTCCGGCTGCCTCTGCTGCCGCAGCTGCGGCACCCTCTTTGGAGAGGCCGGCAGATTTTGCTGCATCCATGGCTGCTTTAGCAGCAGGGCTCAAAGGGCTTGTCCCCAATTCCTGACGGATCACCTCACGCACGGCCTTCGCCGTTTCTTGGGCAATGTCATGGGCCACTTCTTCACTGAGTCCGTCAGGGCGTAACCAATCTGGAATCGCATCGAAATCCCCTTTGCCTTGGATTCTGGTTTTCTCCGTTTTGCCCTTTTCGTCGAAAACCTTCTCAGTTTTCTCGAAAACCCCTCGTTTCGAGGTCTGGGCCACCTTGGCGCGTTTGCCTGGTTCAGCGACAGGCAGTCTTTCACTCCTATTGCCTCTGTCGTCAACCGGCTTGGTAGGTATGGGCTTCAGTCTCGCATGGTGTCTTGTAAGTACAGGCCCGCCATCAGCCTGCTTTAAGAATTCCATGCGTGAAAGCCTCCCATCAACATCTGTGTCCAGTAGGTGGAAAAGCGGAATCAATGCATCGCTGTTCTGCCATTCTAGGGGGTAGAATTGTCGAGCAATGAAGAAAAATTCGTCTTGGGAAAGAAAACCATCTCCATCAGCATCTGCCAATCTGAATGCCGGATTCAAACCACCCATCTTTTGCGATCCCTTTGCAGCGCTGACGAACTCCGTTCGCGAGATCTCACCGTCTGCATTTGTGTCAATGCTGGAGAAAATCTCGACCAACTTGTCTCTGCTTCCAGGGTTGTTGCGCAAAGCACCGGCAATAAACTCAGCTCTTGAAAGGCTATCATCGTAGTTCGTGTCAAGAGAGTCGAAGGTTTGCTCTACAACAACTGCATCAGTGTCACCGGGATCCCTCACGGATTGAAAATCCATGTGCTCGTGCAAGGTCTTGTTGATGATATCCGATGGTGGTCCTCTGCCCTTGGCATCGTGAAAAACATCTTCAGGATCACTCAGCCCGTGGGACTGCAAAGCTGGCCTTACACCTGGCCGATGGAACGAAGTGATGACACCATGTAACACCCTCAACATCTGTCTGAACATTTGTATAACATGAAAAAGGAGTCATCAAAAACTGCACCACTTACACGAGAGTTGATTGGGTTCAGAAGGTCAACCCCTCATAACAACGACATGTTTAGCATCATGCAGAACAAACACACACACACAAATATGTGTATATATAATGTATATGTATAGTTACAAATATATTTATATATGTGGTACCCCCCAAATGTCTACTTTTTGTTTTTATTTTTCATTGGTATTTGCGGTTTTTTATGCACAGTGTTTCTGGTCTGTTTGGGGGAGAACATTTGAGGTGAAAGCGGGTGCCATATATATATATATATTGCAGTGGTTCATGATTGTTTTTGATACCTAATATAGTATACCTAAAATTATATTGAGTAACTATATGTTGAATTATATATAATATAAATATATACACTTCTACATAAGTTTTTCCCTTTGCACCCCCTCGTGCAGTGCAGGTGAAGAATATATTTAAAAAAACAAGAGAACAAGAACAATATTTAAACAATCTTAAGAAATCTTAAGATTCTCCTGGAACCAAGATCCAAGAACCAAGATTGCACAGAAAGTCTTGGGGATAACCTTCTCATGAGAACCAGATTTTCCCCAAGACTTTCTGTGCAATCTTGGTTCTTGGTTCTTGGCCTGAGGAAAACCTTAAGGTTTCTAAAGAAACTATTGTTCCCGAAGACTTTCTGTGTACCGTGTACCTGTCAAGACCGTAGTATGTGAATTGATAGCAGTACTGCCAGTCAGTGCGAAAATAATTCAGCTTAGTGACTTAGTGAGATTGCAACTCTATTCTTCTCTTCTTTTCGCCTCCTCCCTTCTCTTCTCTTCTGTTCTCTTAAAAGGGAATGGAGGGAAAGGGAATGAAAGAGAAGAGAAAAGGAAGAAATGCTACTGAGATGTCATGCACACGCTACTGAGATGTCATGCACACCAGTGAGCGTGTCAATTGTCAAGTTACTGTGGTTGCCGCAGTTGTAAAACATTCAATTTAATAGTAAGTTGCATTCATCAACTCTCATATTGGAACTTGCAGTTGGCACAAGTCATCGTATCACTTGCGGTGATTACAAAAAGATTTTTCTTTCATTGTAAAGTACACAAGTAATTGTGTGAATTGTTGTGTTGCTTTGAGATATTCACAGTTGTATAACATTTAATTCAACATGTCAGGTGTACAAGCCTAGTGTAAACCCAATGTCTGTGATTGTCACACTCTAAGTTCCTAATTTGAGTTGTTTAAAGTTTAAAATGTAATGCCACAGTGTCAAAAAAAACAAACTAACAACTAATATAATCAGTTGTATAGTTGTATTCATCCATTATCATACGTGCAGTTGCACTGTGTGCAGCTGACAGTATGAATTGGAGTGCTCATATATATAATGTTCATTGTCATGTGCACCATTATGTCTGTAAATTATTTTTTGGTGGGGTCTTCACACTTGTACACCATGAGACTCATACTTTGAATTTCAAGTCCAATGTAACAGTTTGAGTTGATATTATTGAAATTCACATGATCAATTATATTATATCCATTAATTCTGCGGATTCTTTTGCCAGCTGAAATGGCGGCCTTCGTGTACACTTCTCGATAGTGCGTGTCACCTTTAGTGAACTACACATGTAGGGTCATGAGTGCTTCTTTAACCTGTACGCACTCCCCCCTTCGGTCTTTGAGCTTCTCTTGGCTCTTTGACCGACTTCAGCTCATGAAATTGAAGCACTCCTCCATTTGGGGGCAAAGCTTCCGTTCCATCTGCCAATCCTCTTTTCTGGCATAGTGGAACCAGCATGCTTCAATCCTACTCAGCTCGTTTCGAGCCTTGAGCTCTGTGCGAGTGCCAACTTCGTTCATGAACGGGAAGTCCTGCTCAGGAATCTCGATCGGCTCAGGGTTCCATTCCACACCTTCTGGCTGAGTCCCAGCCTCACTCATGTTTTCATCTTCAGCTTCTTCAGGTTCTGACGTCGGCATGGGCTCTGGTTCAACCACTTGTTGTTGTGGAGTCGGGTACTCAACCGGGATCTCGACTGTTCTGTCATCCTCCAGCTCTACCGTCGCTGTATCGCCTGACAGTAGTGGTTGTTCTGATCCTGCCCGATCATCTTCGTCTGATGACATTGGCTCGTCATCTCCTCTTGTAGCTGCTCTTGGCCGTTCTGGTAGTCGATCTGCTCCTCGCTCTTCCTTTGCCTGCGCCACTTTTCTTCAACTTCAGGCCATCGTGTCTCCTGTTGACCTTTTCGATGTATCGCAACTTCTTCCACTCTTCAGGCTTGATGGAGACGTCCTGCACATACCCATCCACATAGTTCAAGCCTTGGTGGATTCTCTGGGCATAGTCTGCCTGCATGCTCCATGTGAGTTCAACCTCGTTGAGGCTATTGGAGAACCCTCTGCACATCCAGCTCATCCTGTAGCCGTCTCAGCGCCCATTCGAGGTGCTTGATCTTCTTCCACATCAACGCAAATCCGGCTGCCACCATAGCCAGCAAAATGAAGAATAGCAATACCTTCCAACTCGAGTATGAGATCTGCTCTTCAATCTCAACCTCCACACGTGATCCCGCGGCCAGCTCAAGACTGCCCACCATTACCAGCCTGTTGAGGAACTTTGCCATCTTCATGATGCGGCCCTTTTCAAAGCGCTGCTCCTGAAAGCTCTCATGTTGCTTTTCTCCAACCCTCTGCCCATCTCCTGTCATAGCATTGCACCAGTAGAGCAAAAGATCCAACCTTATCCACCCTTGCCCTTGACAGAGGTTTGGCGCCAATGTCCGCAATGTTCAAGGTCGTACCAACCTGGCGGACTGACAGGCTGCCATCTGCAACCTTGTCCTGGCACCATGGGAGCTTTCCACTCAAGTGGCGTAGTTTGCCGCTGCCTCTCTTGCGTGCAATTTGTCGGGTGGCTGAATTATCAACCCAGCACACATGTTCAACCTCCTCCTGAGTCAAAAACTCCAGGCTGTCCTTCAAGCAAATCCCATCGCAGGCTGCTGCCACCAGTGCATTGAGTTCACTCTCAGCAGAACTGAGGCTGATCGTCTTCTGCCCGCGGGAGCTGCTGTGCACAATGAGGCCATTGACTGCATGTATTGCTGATGATGTAGACCTCCTTGTAGCCTTGCATCCTGACCAATCTGCATCGCTACAGGTCTCGAAGATCCATGGGTATTGATGCCTCCTCCTCTGATTGGATTTGGGAGCAGAATATGTTGATGTTCTGTCTCCTTGGGATAGCCCACCAGCTTGCGCATCCTCCGTACTGCCACCTCCGTGGGGCTTGCTTGCAAGCTCCTTGGTGGTGTAGGCTATATCCAATCTCTCTTGGGCCAAATAATAAATACCCATTCCAGTGATTGAGCGAAACGCCGATGCTTCCTGAGGTCCCACCAAGTTCGAGCTGTCAGCATCTTGGATGTCTGCTGAAGCTGGAAGTCTCTGCCTCTTCACCTTTCCATAGGTCTCCTCGGCCAGCAAACCATCTGGCGTCAACTTGCAGGTGCGCTTGAGGAAGGAAAACTCTTGGCCATCTTCCTCCACTCCACCTCAAACTTTGCCTTGAGCTTGTCCACGAACTTCTCCACTGCCTTGGACCGTCCTGCAAACATGATGTCATCAACATGTATCAACACGTAGACTTTGTCTCCTCACTCCTCCTTCTCCACATCTCCCAAGGCAGGGATTGATCACATCAAAGGTAATCCATGGTCCTCCATGAGATGTTGCTGGACACGCTCAAACCAAGCCTTTGCTCCGACGCGCTGTCCCGGTAGATTCTCAGGACCTTGTACCGTAGGGAATAGCTTCCACTGTAGACATCATCCCTCTTGTCATTGGCAAACTCTCTTGCCACTAGGCGTGACCTCCTCAACCACCTCTTCACTTTGGTGCCATCCTCGTTGACCTTAGTCTTGATGCGCCAGTCCCTGACAAACTTTGCTGTGAGCTTGTCCAACAGCATATCTGCTGTCTCGAGGTCTGCAATCACACCCATCCTTTTCAGCCTCTGCTCCTCCACTTTGTCTGCAAGGGTTCATTGCTCCACAAGGCTTCTGGAATTGCCCCTGGCGCCAGGTTCTCCAAGCCCTCCTCTTCTTCATCCATAGCCAGGGTCTCTACATCTACAACTTCATAAGTGGTACATAGTTTCCCCTTCAATAGTCACTTCCTCCACTCGTCAACCATCTCCGTCCTCGAGGTGCTCGATGGCGATGTTGCGCCTTCTTTCTCAATCATTTGCTTCTTAGAGCTCTCCACTCGAGGCTTCTTTGCTTCCGGCTCAATCTTGACTGCTGATGGTGGAGGCGGTGTCTTCCTCAAAGTTCTCTCCTCTTGAGTGCCCTTGTCGTCATCCCACGGTAGTGGGGAATCTCCATAGGAACAAATCCATCCGAGCCCACTTCTCCAGGATGCTGTAGAGCAGGAACTGGTGAACTTTGCCCTTCTGCTGGCGGGGCTCTTGGGGCTGGCACTCCACCTTCAGCTGCCAAGGCACCTGAAACAACCTCTTCTGTTGCCCCAAGCATCAACTGCACTTCCTGGATCTCGCGTTCTGCCTCCTCTTGACCTTCTTTAGATCTTGCATACTCCTCCACTGCCTGGGCATCCGCCTCTCTGTAGATCGTGGGGTCTTGCCCAAAAAAGATAGCCATTCGCCACTTCGGATTGCCTTTGCCGGGCATAGACCGGGCAACCAAATGGAACCAGAGGCGACTCATACGACTTGCCCTGGGTCAGTTCAAAGCTAGCTCCATGACGTGCAGCCCAGCTCCACAGCGCGTGGTTGCTGTTGAACCTCAATCCGACCTTCTTCATCAATGATTCCATCAAAGTACCAGCCAGTCCTCTGATCCTCTGGATGGCGTTCTCGGCCAGGGAATTACCTGCGGAGTCCTTCACCCGGGTCGTGTAGATCCTTGTGCGAAGCCCAAGTGCATGACGGGAGTTTAGCAAAATGCGAAGTAGGGCCCGCATTGTCGGCTCATTGTCTGCATAGAGTCCAACTTCTGTGTGGCCAAGTTGGATGAAGGTCATTGTCTCCCGGCGCATAAGGCTCAACTGGCCTTTCGACTGCAAGCGAGCTGCACATAGTAATCTTGTTTGGCTACATGATACGACCAACCAAAGAGCTGCTTTCACCTCCTTGAACCTCACCTCAGCCCTGCTGCTCATCTTGCTCCTGTTGCAGATCTACTACCTCATGTCCATCCTCTTCCATTGCCGCTGGCGCTGGTCGATCCATCTCTCCGGCCTTCGTATAGCAGAAATCCATGCTAATGATCGGAATGCCTGAGAGTCTTGCTGCTCCTGTACGTAGGTGCCTGTCTGGTCGACCACGGTGCATCAAACATGTCTCGCACCAGGGCTGATATGGAGTGTGCGTTAGCTCATGCAGGAACTGCTCCTCCTCCGAAGGAACTTTCACCAAAGGCTGTGGTCTCGGCCTCCTTGCAACTTCCATCTGAGCTGCTGCAACTGCGGACGCTGCTGCTTTCAACTCCAGCTCCTTGATGTGGCTTACCAACCTCTAGCAGCATTTTATCTTACTTCCTGAGGCGCTGATGCCGTAGAAACTGCACGCTGCCCTCAGCTCTCTCAACCTCGACTCCGGGGTCAGCTCGACGCCATTGACCAATAGGCTTCCAGGCATAGCTCCTCCTACCACCAGCCTTGCTTCCTGCTCTTCTCCTTCTTCCCTCAAGGGTTCATCATGAACCTCCTCATCTGCCCGGCCAGCTTCCACTGGCAACTCAACATCTCTCCTCTCCACGGGCTGTGCCGCTGCCTCCATTCCTGCGTCAACCTCAAATCCCAACTCCTCTGGATGGCATGGTCGTACTGGATAATCGCTTCTCTCAGCCGACTGTAGCTTTGCGTCTCAGCCACCTGTAGCTGTAACCAGGTCTTCAATTGGCCTCCAACACAGCGCATCAGGGTGGCGAACTTGATGGTCTCGTCGAGGCGAGCTCCCGTTTTCTCGTATTCAGCATAGGCCTCCTCGACCTTGAGCAACTGATTCAGAATGATCCCCTTTCTCATGTCAAACTGTCCCCACTCTAATATCATCGTCAAAAGTCCGAGGGACCGGTTTTTGCTTGTTGGTTCCAAGCTTTGGATGAGCACTCGATAGGCCTCCAAGCCATTTGAATCCTTCACCTGCCTGCTTGATTAGGGAGAGAGGCCTGTGGCGCAGGAGGGGTGCCAGCAAAGCATACAGGAAGCTGCTTCGTTGCCGTTCTTCACCACCTTGGAGGTCCACTGCAATCTCTCTTCCTGGATTGGACCTGAGCTCCTTAATGTCGTCGATGTAGATGGAGTCCAGGGAGGAGAGGTATTGCTCTAGGCTCCAGGAGAAGTCTCTCATTGGGATATCTCCTCCTCCCGGGATCGTGGATCGAAATTGGGAGGTTTTGGCAAGATGCGAAACCAGTTTCGATCTTCTGGCTTCTGGGCCACGGCATCCACTGCCGCCCCGCCGCGGCCAGCTGCTTCTACAGCCTGCCTGGACCATTCTCCTGGCGATCTCGGCGCCATCAACCATTCCACCTCCAGCAAGTAGGGGATCGTGCCAATGGAGATCCCTCCAAACCAGCCATATCCGCTCAAACTCACCCCGCTCAGCTTCAAGGGCGATGGGCTCCAAGTCGATGTAGGGATCACGGGCAAAGGGACAAACTTGTACCTCAGGGCGAACACTAGCAGTGATTGCGAGCTCAGCTGGATCTCCGCCCAGCACTGGCCAGGCACCTATGGCTGCCTGCGGGTGCAAGGGCCACCAACCGGGGGATTGGGTCCTGCCCTCAAAGAATCCCTGGAGCCTCCCCTCAGAGCCTAAGCAATGAGGTTCCTCGGCTCCGCTACCATGCGGATTCTTTTGCCAGCTGAAATGGCGGCCTTCATGTACACTTCTCGATAGTGCGTGTCACCTTTAGTGAACTACACGTGTAGGGTCATGAGTGCTTCTTTCACCTGTACGCAAATTCTTATATTTGCAATTGCATTAGATACTACTAACAATATGAATTGGAATGCATCCTTGTTCTCCAATGTCCCAACCTTGGAAAACATATGTCCTTATCTGAGTGCATTGGTCAGCCGTTCTGCCAATATTAATGCATTTAAAACACATGACAACACAGGGTAAAAGCCATGCTAACAAACCAAAAAGGCATACATTCATGTGCATATTATATATAATGTGCATACATATAATGTGCGCATTATATGATTATGTGATATTATGTGTGTGCGTGTGTGTTAAATTGTTTTGTCCTTGCCATTTATCCCAAAGCCCCAGTGCCCTATCCTTGAATACGCGAATGTTCAGTGATCCATGATGTAATAACACATAATAATACATAATGATACCACCAAACATGGTATTCGCCCAAGAAGCAAAACGCCGACTAGTTGAGCTGAAACGAACATAAAGAACGATGTTTTTGGCTCACTGTCTCAGTCCACCTCGAAGGTGAGTGGCGAGGCAGGTGTGACATAGCAGCGCCAGAATCCACATGACCCTGCAACAATTGCGGGCAGGGTGAACAGAAACGAGCATGAGATCTTGACAGAACGTTACTCTTCCACAAAGATTGTTTTGTGGTATCATTTCTTGCACCTGGGACAAAAGCAAATTTGTGCGTGAAGTCTAAGAAAACAGAAACGACAAACCATCCTGCAAATGCCGGCTTGAGGCCCTGCCACAATTGTCAGCCTCAAAAAAAGTGCACAATCAAAAGAAAAGAGCGCTGTTTGCGATTCTACATGGACAAATGGCCGAGTTTCCGCACGGCGGGAGTCTACAATGAAGCGGATCTAAGGTTCCACCTCAACAAGAAAGTGTCAAAAGATTTCACAGGTAACTGAGAGAAAAAACAAGGAGGATGTCCATCTTTGTAATCTCCTTTGTTTGTCTCCATGCAGTCTCACACCCTTAGGGAGACCAAAAAGAAGGCTATCCTTAGCAGTTTTTGACCAGTAATGAGCTGCACGAGGCCCCGACATCCGAACGTTGGTGACAGGGAGAAATCCCCGACATCCAACTAGATGCTGGGAGCCGATGAGCAGCAACATGGTGCGGCGTCCTACTTCAAGAAAGCACGCATCATGCAACTAGCAAGGTAAAAGCACTGCCAAACCCACCTGAATGGGCATTTGAACCGCTTCCTTTTTTTGAGGCAAGCTTAGATGGCTGGCGCAGAATCTTGTGTGCTTTCTACGTGCTCAACATCCGCTCTGGTGGTGACTCTTGTGACCAGGATCACGTCATTGGGTGTGCTTGTTCAAAAATAGTCCAAGATTGAGATGAGATCTATATTCATGCAATCTAGTGGCCCAAATCTTGGAACCCCTTGCTCTCTGGATTAAACCTGTCAAAGTCGCACGTGCAGCTTGATTCATGATTCCAACATGACCTGTCGCAAAATGTCGGATTTCCGATGGATGCAGTCAGGCACCGCTAAAGCTCACGCACCGTCGCCCAGCATAGGCAGCATAGGGGCTGGAATCCCGTCATCTTCGAAGAAAATGAGGCCTCCCGTCATGACTCTTTCAGGAGCTTGAATACATGCATAGGAGCATGGCGTTCCTAGGAGCACGGGCAACTGTAGCTAGCGCTGACCGTTCGAAACGCCTTTTGCATTGCATTCCGGCTACGCGTGGCTCATTCTAAACGTCTCCCTGCGTCTCCCTGCACTAACTTGCAAACATGGATGATGTTGAATCATGTTAGTCCTGCTGGGGTAATCCGGTTTTGTTTGATTGACCTTGGTTCAGCGTGACCAAGTTCTGGGTGTCATTGTTTGCCGTTGCTCGACGTGGTGGCACGGCAAACACCAAAATCAGATCAACTATATACGTCTACAATTCTATCAAAATGTACGGTTATTCCATCAAAATGAGCACTTTAATTCTATGATGTTGGGAAGCTGCTCTTCAGCCAAGCTTCCGATGTGAAGAGTGACAGAAAATGCAAGAGCCATGAGCACGAATTTCCTGTCATTCCAATGAGCCTTCTCAACTCTCTCACAGTTTGCACAAAAGATCACAGAAAGTTTTCCACGTGGAGTATTCCTGCATTCTTGCAGCCAAGCCCACTGAAGCACTGCAGTGTTACACTGCAAATCCCGTATGACACATTTTGAAACAAACTCTTTGAGATTATCCTGCAACTAGACATCATGACACATTGAAATAATGCTGTGAAACTACCAAACTATGAGGATTCGAAGCAGTGCTTGAAAATTTGAAAGAAAATGCCTTGGCTGCGAACAAATCATGTGGATGTGCACCAACTGGTCCCCTCCTCGATCTGGAAAAAAATCGCCAGAATTCGTCAGCAATAAGGCCTTGTCCTTGCTGTTCGTCAGCATAAGGTGGTCTTTTCCAGGAAGCTTGTCCACGTGGACATTTCCAGGTCGGTGCTTGCAACCCTGCATGCGGCTCCGGCTCGACCTTGGGCAAGCTGAGAGGCTCATATACTGCATCATTCTGGAAAAAATTTTCTGAAAGCGGCATGCAAAATCAAAAGTTTCCAAATCCCCGGCCTTCTTGCCCAGAGTGGCCGACGGTTTTGCAGTTAGTCTACCGATAATGCCTGGGCGAAAGCATCCCCCAAGCAGGTTCCAGCCTGAGATGTCGAGCGATGTCGAGCGCCGACACGCAGGATCTCAAAGGCTCGGCTTAACTATTTTCTCTTCCCATACTAGTAGCTTCATATTACTAGTAGTAATGGCCTTCAACCTAATAGCGATGGCCTCCACCTAGTAGCTTTTTGTTACTAGTAGTAATGGCCTCCAACCTAATAGCGATGGCCTCCACCTAGTAGCTTCTTGTTACTAGTAGTAATGGCCTCCAACCTGATAGCGATGGCCTCCACCTAGTAGCTTCGTGTTTTTAGTAGTAATGGCCTCCAACCTGATAGCGATGGCTTCCACCCAGTAGCTTTTTGGTACTAGTAGTAATGGCCTCCAACCTGATAGCGATGGCCTCCACCTAGTAGCTTCTTGTTACTCCTAGTAATGGCCTCCAACCTAATAGCGATGGCCTCCACCTAGTAGCTTCGTGTTACTAGTAGTAATGGCCTCCAACTCCAACTAGTAGCTTCTTGTTACTGGTAGCTCCTTGTTACTAGCATATCAATACATTCAATACATGAACCCTTTTCTGTTGCAAGCCAAAGCGGTAGCCGATAGCCGATAGAGAAACCACAGTGCACATGTGTGCTCAGAATTGCTCAAACGCCTTGCAAAAGCAGCCCTCTGGGTGGAAGTTTCAAGAATGGCAAACTATGATGGCAAGTGTTCATTTGCGGCCTGCGATTGTGCATGTACACTGCGACAACAAGCAATAAATCTTTGCAGCTGTTGAATTTACCGAACGAGCCTTGGGTTCCAAACGAAAAACACTTGTGATGATCCTGAAGTGCACAGTGGCAGTGCGGTGCAGGGTGATTTGGCATGTCACTGGTTTGATTTGATTTGTGATGTTGCGAAGTGCCGTGAAGATCTTATTTGTGATGCAGTCAAGTGATGTGTGGCGATTTGTAGGCGAAGTGATGATTTGTATGATGAAGTGTCACATAAGTAGGAGTGTGATGAAGCCCTACTGTTGATACTCTCTAAGAACTCAGTTCGATGCTGTCCTCCACCAATCTCTAGTGAAGTGTTTTCCACCTCCAGCTGCCACCCACAGCTTCTACAGTGCTTTCTGACTTCTCTGCTTCCATTCGGCCTGTGGTCCCACCCGCGTGCACCACCTGTGGCCCACGAACGCAAGTCAAACCGGCTCAACGTAACTCGGAACAAACAACGGAACAATGTGTGTATACAATATACGCCCTGGAAGATTCACCAGAAATCTGAAACCACTGGATGTGCATTTTTGGGGGAAATGATCTTCCAAAGGTCAATTTTTAGGTTCCGTGTTAATCTTTCCGGGTGTAGTCCCTCAGGTCTTTAAGACCTTGCCACAGCTTGGTGAGTTTCCTTGCTAGTTCATTTAGCCCCTTGCCGTCAGACACTCCTCGCGCGAGAGCCCATCGAGCAGTTGCGCCTGAGCTTCCGAAGCGAGCATTTGCTGGCATCATGCCGCATGAGTGGCGCCGAGTGGCGGTATCTCTTGTGAACTTCAAGACCTTAGCTGTCACGAGGCTGCGGCAGCTTTGACCACTTTTGACCACATCACCCCGCCAAACTTGCTCCCCTTGCTGCAGGCAAGGTTCTGGACAGGATTTTTTCACATAAGCCTTGGCGGCTGCTTCACTCTTTGGCACAACTTGTGACCCTTGAAGGCAAACAACCGCCTTTCTTGACTTCCAATGGAAGGACACTCCATGACACTTCCTCTTGCAAACTTGTTCCAGGAATATCCAACAAGATGGAGCCCACGAACCCGAATGCAAACACATACGTCAAACCACTGTGTACAAAAAGAGACACAGCCGGTCAGAGTCTCTTTTTCACTCTCTGACACGCTGTTGGACATCATGGGGACTTCACCACCAAGCTCTGTCTTCATCATGAAGGATCTTTGTTTTGCATTCAAATCAAGCATTGGCGTAAAGGTTCTGGCAGATCCGCGGCACGAAAGAAACAATGGCATTGTCCCAAAATCTCGAAAATAAGGACTTGAAAATGATAACCATCCACATAATACAGAGAAATCCACAATTGCGGCGTCTGATCTTCTTGTAAATAGGAGTGCAAGACCGTGCGTTGTTGTGGTTCGCCTGCATCGACAAGAAGTATATGAGACACACACAACGGAAGTGAAGAAAACTATCCTATAGGTTATGTCATTAGTCCAACATTCGTATGGATTTATCGCACACACGTTTGTTAGATGTGTCACCGGAGCCTCGAACAACAGACGTCTGGGTCCAAGTATTTCCATGAATGATGAAGCCAAGATTGAGCTCCGTGGCCAACGCAACAAAGTCGACGTCCGTTGCCCAATGAGTATTCCCACAAGCTTCGAGAGCAGTGCTCACGGCATCCTGCAAAGACACCAGGGCCGCAGTGCCAGAACGCACTCTCTTGCTCCTCGTCACGGAGCTGTCGCCCTCTTTGTAGCGAACTAGCATGGCGTCGTCTGCAACTTCTGCTCCGAGGACATCGTTGGCGTCTTTCAAGAAAGCAAAAGGAGAGCCACGCAACAGTGCGATCATGGACCAGTCGTCCAGCCATGTCCTCGCAGCTTCGCGCACCAAACACCCTACGACAAAGTTCAAGAATGCTTTTGGCGTCTTGGCGCGCATGTGTCGCCCGACAATCTTGCGGAGAGCAGCCGCGACCGTAATTCGGTCGTCCCAGTCAGCCACCTCATCGGAAGTGAAAAGATTCAAGAGTCGTGGGTGGACTGCTCGCGCCTGCATCAGGACGACCGCAGTGGACAAAAAGAAGCAATCGCCGCCTCCACCAGCTTCGGCGGCAAAGACACGCAGAGCCCCGTGTTCTCGGAAAAATTGTGCCGTGGGAGCGGCCACCTCTTCCAGCACAAGAGACCAGATGTCGCAGAAATCCGTTCGCAGCTGACGCCACTTGGTGGGGTCGTACTTCCTATTGGTTCCCCTGAACTCAGTCACTACACTCGCCCTCGTAGCCGCTGTCTAATGCACATAAAGTACTGCGCCTGTCACGAAATGTCACCTCCGTCACACCTCGCAACCCCACGATTCCCTGCGCCTGTCACGAAATGTCACCTCCGTCCACACGTCTAATGCGCACAAAGTACCGCGCCTGTCACGAAATGTCACCTCCGTCACACCTCGCAACCTCACGATTCCCTGCGCCTGTCACGAAATGTCACCTCCGTCACACCTCGCAACCTCACGATTCCCTGCGCCCGCCGTGAATCTTTCCACATCCACACGTCTAATGCGCATAAAGTACTGCGCCTGTCACGAAATGTCGCCTCCGTCACACCTCGCAACCTCACGATTCCCTGCGCCTGTCACGAAATGTCACCTCCGTCACGCATCGCAACCTCACCATTCCCTGCGCCTGCCACGAAAATCCCACTTCCACACCTCAAAACACGCACAAAATCCTGCGCCTGCCACGAAAAGTAACAATGTCATCTCATGTGAGCTTCACCAAAATTTGCACCACACCACACGTTTGGAATGATTTCGACCCGTTCTGAGCACACTCCCAGGGTCCAAAATCGGCATTTCAGCTGAGACTTGTCACGAAAACAGAGCTTCGATGCCACACCCTGAAACGCAAATCCCAATGGCACGGCCACATCCAACACCCCAAAAACACGACTCTCCAAACGCTAATCCCAATGGAACTGCGTAGCAAACTGCGGATCTCACAAAACGCTGCGCCTGCGCAGTGAAACGCATCACGCTTCTTGCGCGACATATCCTTTTCACGCAAATCACAATGGACTCGCGTCGCAAACTAACACGTGACACATCCATGCATAGTCACTTGCAAAAGCTTCCCCCAATGGCAGCGCCTTAGCGACCTACTGCGGACGGTTGCGGACGGTTGCGAACGGTTGCGGACAGTTGCGGACGGTTGCGAACATAGAAGCAACGGATCGCGAACAAGACTCTACCCCCAGACCCCCAGAGTTAAACGAGAACCCTTCGCTACGCATTCGGGAAAAAAAGGGCAAACAGGGAACAAGCCCCTCAAATCAAGCAACCATCCAAGACGGATCTGTCTTCCGCCGCCATTTTCGCAGAGCAGCCTTTCACTTGAAAGCACGCAGCTTTCGAGTCGTTTCGTCAGCATCCAGGAATCGAGGACAGCAGAAATTGATATTAACATGTAGGACTTCTCAAGAATAAACAACATGAAGCCTGGAAAAACCAACTTCGCCACAAGTTTATGCGGCTGAAACTCGTTTGGGTCCCACTTCACGTCTGGCTCTTCCATGTGCCAAAAGGCGGTGTCATCTGCACGGATTAGAAGCATTTCCTCTTCCCAGATTCGGCGGAACTCTGGGTATTGATCCTGAAGCATGGTGGAACTCACGATGGTGTCAAGGTCTGGGTATTGATCCAAATCATGGCGCTGAACCAAGCAAGCCACAGCACAAGTCACAAATACACAAAAGGTGCAGGCAGTACATCTCATTCCAAGTTCCAAGCCACAATCATCTTTTTGAATGCTGCATGCATCAGCAAATAATTCCTCAAATCTTGCCCAAAGCGTTTCCTGAATACGCAGAGCTGGTCCACATGTTGGCGTCGTCTTGGGAACTGAGATTTGCCTGGAGGAGTCAACCTGCTTTCATGCTGCTGGGCGTCAAGTGGCTCAAATCGACATCTCGAAAAAGCGGGTGCTCTGGCACACCAGGTGGGTCGAGGAACATGGAAAAGGCGTCTGCCCTGGTGAGTCGACTCAACGGATCAAATCAGGACAAATGGATACAGTTGGCAGAATGAGGTTAAACTGTTGTGTTGCTTGCATAAACCACCATAAACCTATGCACTGGACTCCACTGTTCTGCCAAACTGGCAGGCCTGGACTTGCTATTCCAATAGCCGTTGAAAAGCGCTTGCCAGGCCAACATCAGTGGATGTTCACGTCGGGCTGCCATCACCCAGTTCTCAACAAACTCCTGCGCAGGAGTAGCGCTCAAAAGGATTCCCGCAAATCTCTTTGGATGCCCAGTGTAAACAACAGCGCAGCACAAGAACAAACGCAAAAGGAACAGGCCAATGGACGGAAGTTTGAGGCAGAGTAAACTCTGGCATACGCAGCGCAGCAAACAAACAATGTTCGGTTCTTCTTCCATCCTTGCTCTTGTGCATTTCACAGCCCCATGCAGAGAAGTAGAATGCCTTGGGGAGCAACTAAAGAGAACAAATCAACCACCTTGCAAAGAATCACACCAAAAAGATGTATTGTGAAAAATTAAAGATCTGTGAAAACGTAGTTATGTTCTTTTTGTTCTTTGTTTTAGTCTTCGCGGCAACACTTTTACTAAGGACAATTCAAATGCCTGTGTGTTCAATATAAAGGGCTCTAGGCTCTGGGTTCTTGTTGTTTTTGCCAACCATTTAAGACACTTACTGATGAGGGTCTCACACAGTCGGAAGTTGGAGACACTTCGATCGTGGCGGGTGATATGGTCCATTGGGGGAGGGGTTGCCAAAGTCAGTGAATCACACCAAGTAACGGCTATTTCTTCTGGGCGCTCTTCTGACTGAATGGCTCCGTAGATCCAGGCATCAAACGGTTGGAAGCAAATAGTTGATGCATCAATCCACAGGCCTGAAAATCCACCGGTGGGGCTTCCCGTGCACCAAATCCATGGCATGGTGGGTGATTCCTTTAATGCACCAAAGTTCCGATCTGGCAAATCTCCAGTCTACAAGTAGCGAGTGGCAAACCGTCAAAAGCCATTACAGAATGTACATTGTATACATCGTTCAATATACATATATATATATATGTGTGTGTGTATCATATTAAAGCACAAAAAGAGCGCAACAAACACTATGTGAGAGTTGCGGATTCCACTCCAACCCACCAAAAACACAAAAAACAACAGAAAGGGGACAACAAAGAAAAGCCTCTGAATCTGATGTGGCACCTCCATACTTCGCCAGCAAGGCCAGTCGCACAGCATCTGCCTGCCATGGGACGTACATCTCGTCCCATAATCTGGGCAAATCCGAAGGCTCCAAAAAATCCAAAACGTTGCGCTGGTCCAAAATTTCAATCCTGGATGGGGGAGACATGATGAGACAGTGAGACAGGAGCCCCAAACGAGTCCACTCGTCTGAACAAGTCCATGAATATAATACACGTTTCAAATGTATTATTTATATATATATATGTATTATTGTTATTATTGGTATTGGTAATTAGTAGACCTGGCAGTAGTAGTATTAGTATCTTTATTTTATGATCTTATAGATGTGTGGTTGTGTGTATAAACGGCTCATGATGTGATCTACCATGTTCTCAATTCATCTCAAGTCTCAATCTAGCGCCCCGAATTCTCAATTCTACCACATTGCTGAAGGCACACTGCGGCAATGATGAAAGTGACGTTGGGCACACTGAAATTCAGATCTGAGAGTCTCCCAGTCGGGGTTCTGAGCAGCCCAGGTCTCGACACAAAGGCGACGAAAGTCTGGCAACTTCTCCTCAAATGGCCGGTGGCAAGGGACGCCATAAAGGAGACGCCCCATGCCATACTTGCATGTCGCAAGCGGCTCGCCGAGCCGTTTGCCTGTAGCATGTTAAAACTTTAAAGGTCGGACCTGAAAGGTGATGAATGTGGAAGGTCAGAGTCTGTACTTGCCAAGGCTCAGCTCCTTTATCCCAAAACGACCACGCGATCCTGGGTGTCGGACTTCGAGAAGGACGCCTGGACCAGTCGAGAATCGAAAGGAAACGATGTTCGCTGCAAGATCCAAGATCCAGCCATGTTTGTCCACTTTCCACTTCCATGAAAATCGTGAAATCCTCTCTTTTTGGACGATTCCGTTTATGGAGCTGGGTAGATTCCTGAGTGATTCAGCGCCACCAAGTTCCGGGAAGTGTCTCGTAGCTTCATGCTAGACTGCTGTACAGGGAGCTTGGCGTGCAACTAAAACGGCATCAACGGATCCTGCCTGTCATCACGCCTTAGGCCTTGCCTTCTGCAACAGCAGAAGCAAACGCGCCTTTTGGCGCATTGTTGAATTCAAGACTATCTGCAATTGTCTGCAGCAATGTCGTCGGCAAGTGTGCAGTGCAAAAGTCTAGTCTAGTTCATCCACATGCAAAGTGAGGTAGCACGAATGGTTGCAAGCTTCAACAGAAACATTGGCTTGCGGTTGACACTGGGCTTCGACAGTTGGTCCAACCGCAACCACCAGACTGACCTCACCCGTTTAGCGATGCAAGCATGGCCTGCAACTGAACTCAAACAATGGAGCCCTGTTCTTCTGGCTGGAATTCAGCCAGTCTCAAAACATACACAGTAAATTGAAAAAATGACACGTACTGCAATCACACTTCCGACGCGCCCTTACTGGCTTCACTAGCTCGCTGTCTCGAATTGGTCCAAATGGCTGCGAGTACCGATGGCACAGACGCCAAAACCAAAGACGCTGAAGTCCAAAAGCCAGCACGGTAGCTTCCGGTCATGTCAACAATCGTTCCAACTAGTGTAGGCCCGGTCAGGTTGCCAATGCCCAATGCAGCGCCTGCAGTTTGGCACCCTAGCAAAACTCCTAGAGCAACGTGGATAGACATGCCACAAGAGGTTCTATGATATACCTTTGATGTCCGATTGATAATGGATTCCACAAGCACTGCTCTTGTTTGTTCATGGACGCCAACACCATGACGTTGCGCCTACAAGGCCAAAGTAGTGTGGCACCTTCTCCACCCCAAACAGCTCATTCAGTAGGAGAGATAGGAGGGCGACACGGCTGCCAGAGGAGATGCCAAAGAGCACCTGTGTTCATCAGAATGTCATCGGACGCATTCACGAAATCTCATGTGTTGAGATGTCGTCTCCTACAACTAGGTTGCTGATGACAGAAAAGCCACGTTCTAGATTGTCTCCTGGTCTGCTGGATGATTAACACATTTATCCCTCCTCCCCCCAGAATGATCACACATTCTGAACTGATGAATCCAATCAAAAGCTACCCAAAAGCCTAAGCACTCGTGTTGCCTGTGGACCTGCTCGTACGGACGTCAACACTACGTAACATGGTTGAGAAACACCCTTGACCTTGAGCCAAGGACGGAAGCTAGTCTGGGTGTGGGAGTGACAATGCCAATGCCAATATGAATATCCTGTGTTAGTGCACGCCATTCCTTCAAAAGCAGTGAAAAAGTGCATCAATAAGTAAAAGATAATGAAAGCAGGTTGATTGAGGCAACAGTCGGCCGAGCCACGGAAAAGCCATGCAGCTCCACCCCAGAGGTGCAGAAGGGCAGCAAAATCAGCGACAAACCCTGCAAGCTAATGACCACCAAGAACAACACGGATGGCGAAATCACACTTGCAAACAGGCCGCCTCAGTGGCACAGAGTGGCAAAGAATCCTCACAAGCCCGCTGGCCCAATGGAGTATAGTCACAGCATATTCACAGCAGTAGTAGTAGTAGTAGTAGTAGTAGTCGCGGTGGTGGTGTATAATTAATTACGATATATTACGATGCTTTGATCGTTGGGAAAGCTGAGCCACCAAAAAACCGTCCAAGAATGGCTGCGGCCCCAATGGTGCTGATCAATGTCGGAGCTTCTCTATAGCCGTGCTGCTCGGCATAGTAGACCAAATGCGTGTAGGGCACCATGAAGCCACACATGTAAAGCAGCAGGCCCACATTGAGAAGCAAGAAGCTTCGGTTTGAGAAGGGTTCCAAGAAAGATTTGATGCACTGTCCTTCTGCCTTTTCTGCCTTGGAAGATGTGGTCTCGCTTGGTTCGGTCTCAGATTGAGTCGTCTCGCTGGCAGTCTCTCCAGACTCAGAACGAGCTTCAGGAGCTTCTGCAGCTTGACGTGTGGAATACCAAAGTGCTATGGTGTTCAAGGACAGCACGAATAGTAAGCATAAAGCAAGAACACGCTGTGCGCTTCGTCGGCCCCAAGCATCCAGAAAGTGGGCCAGCAGGATATTTAAAACGACCGTGCCAACTCCTCCACCAGTGGAAGCTATGCCAACAACCACCGGAAGCATCGGCCCACTGAAGCACAGGAAAGGAACCACACCAGAAGGCATGAAGAGCAAGGCAGAGCCCAAGCCAGAAAAGCAGCTGAAGGATAAGAACATCAAGGGTCTTGGCACAACGCTATCCAATAGAAGGCCTACAACCATCAAGCTGCCTCCCAAGACGGCCGTGAAGACATAGCCGCATTGCTTCACACAAGGACCTGTGAACATTAACCCGGTGTTCATCAGGAAGTCTCGAGCGGATCCGATCAGTGCCAACGTGCCCAGGCGAGCTCCTGCAGCTCCTTCGCTAACGCTGCCCGCACTCTCAGCCTTCAAGGAGGCGAAAATCTGGCCATAACCTATGCCAAGGGAAAGGTGAAGGATGTTGAATCCCAAGAGCTCTAAATGGAAAGCCAACAGTCAGGTGACCCTACTAGTGTACTCAGTGGGGTCGCTGTAGCCCATCTTCTGCCCATGGGTTCCCCCCTCCTTCCCCCCCAATGGAGGAAACTGATCGTTGCATTTCTGAATGAATCAGCACGACGCACACAAGAAACATGTTCTCTGTTCAACTTTGAAGGCCAGAGCGGCTTCCTTGCGGATTTTTTCAGCTGCCTTTAGCCTTTATGCACTTTCGGCTGCGAATCTTTCTAACTATCTGGGTGTCACTGGCAGCCCTCCCAATTTCACGCTACGCCCAGCTTTACAAAAACCAAGTCAACAAGCACTGCATAAGATTCGGTATGCAAGCGCGTATTGGGCAATCATTTTGTATGTGTGCGTCACTGAGCTCAAGGCTGTAACACATGCCCATAGACACAAATTGGCCGACGAAGCAAGCCAACACTGCAACAACTTTCTTGCAGCATTGGTGATTGCAGAAAGCAAGCGGCATGGCCGTTCGGCGGAGGTCCATTCAAAATCACTGTTTCCGTTGACAACAGGGGAAGTTTACAGGACGGCCATCGCTTCCGCACCAAAGTGGAGGCCTATCATGTGGAGTCAATGTCAACAACGTTGCTTCTTCCTTGGCTCATTCGGGCTGAGACAACTCTATCTCTCTTCTTGAGCCACATATGCCGCACCACAAAGCCTCTCGGTGCTCTTCGTCGTGCCATTGTGGCCTCGAGCGTTTGCACGGCCTCACCGGCTGACCCGACCTGCCTCAAACTGGCCGCTTCCGCACGCCCAGCGGCAAGGGCGAAGCTCCACTTCAGTGCCATGGCATGTGCTGAAGGATGCCCGTTTGGTTTTTCCAAGCCGTGGCAGGGGGGCATACATTCGTAGCGCCATACAGGCCATTTTCTGCGGGTTACAAGCCCAGACTGCATTGCACAAATGCCGCAATGTCCAAGACTCAATTGAGATTGGGTCTTCCGAGCATAGGTGGGTCTCTGGGGTTTTTTGGTCATGTACACCACTCTATGCGAGTAGAGGATTGGATTAGCTTGTCAGTGAAAGAGCAACGCAAGCGGTGGAGGGTCCAGTGCCAAAACCTGTGGGCACAAGACCAGTTGCCCGAACACTCGAGTATCGCTGGTTCTGGATGTTCTGTTCGCTCTACAATGTCCCAGATGCCTCCTTCATTTTGCTGCAGGCTTTCTTTTGAAGCAGCCCTTTCTGCTCCCACTACTGGATAGGGCAGCCCCGCTAAACTAACTAGACAATTTGATCATCCCTGGGTATGGCTTAGGCATCGCTTTTATGTAAAGCAACAATAAGATTTGAATCGAATGATCGAGCGATAGGGTATCGCTTTTGGTTGTTCACTGTCGCAAAACACATGGTATGCTCATGATTTCTGTGCAAAGGCTGTCTCACACAAAGGTTTTGTCGCTTTGTGTGCAAACCCCTTTGGCTGCTTCTCATATTCCCTGGCCCCCCAATTCTAGTTCGACCTGACCGCACCCTGCGAGGCTTCATTCCTATTTGCTGTCATTTTCTTGGCTGTTGTTGTTTTTCTGGGAATACTTGGCCGGGATATATATATATATACTCGGTTGGGCCACTGGCAGAATGCCTTTCAATGACTATCGGCAACCTGGCTGAACCGGCAACGAGCTATTTGCGTTCGGCCAGCAACGGCAGAAACCTGTGGCAAAGAGCAACTCAAGTCACCAATTGTTCCATGCAACAGCCACTCTCGCCAGGCACAATGACTCAGAGCACACGCGTGGAGTAACGACCTTTTGCCATCCATCGACAAGGCTGAAAAAGGATCTGTGGGGATCGTCGTGGGATTTGAAAAGATTCATCTGGGACGATGGCATTGTCCAACTAATTGCAAGAATGCTTCAAAACCAGCCTTAGGTTTCGACTCAGATCATCGTTGAGCAAAAACACTTGTTCATTGCTAAGTTATTTCCGGTAATTATATACATGTAATTACTGCTCAGTGTTCTTTCCTACACGAAGTCTGGCACTTCAATTTTGAATGAGGAGGGGGGAATCTTTGTTGGAATCCTGGGAGATTGGCATGACTATGAATGACTTACAGTATATACTATATATATACTAATCTTGCAATAATTCCCGCAAAATCTTCAAATCCTGTCCGTCACCACTTAGAATGCCCTGTCATATCACCCTTTGGGTGCTGAGGAAAGACACAGCCAACTCGGGCAGTGCAATTCTCAAGCCTGTCCGGCCTGTCCCTTTGGGACAAAGGGAAGTCGCTATTCTATAGCAACATATTGCGATCTTCTATATAAGTTGCCAGGGGAATTATGTGTAACTTCCAGGTTGCGCACCCTGACTCAACATAACTTGCTACCATTTAGTTTGCTTCTCATAACTTGCTTAACTCTGCAAACGCCCTGCACAGCAGCCACAATCTCAGGCTTTTCACGTTGATGGCGACTGGAATTCTGACAAGGCTCCAGGCAATTTGGATTCAGGCAGGCGGGCAGCTAATCCTGCGCTTGGATCCTGACAGTTGCATCGTATGCGCCGCATGCAGCTGTGATGACATCAATTCTGTCTGCCTGTGTCAGGCTACCTAATTGCCTTCTGATGGTGTGTGACTTTACGTTGTGATTTCCAGCCTCCTCCGCCTCCTTCAGGGAAGAACCAGGGTTTGCAAATGATTTCGCTTTGCTGGCCTGCAGGACGCGTCGAAGTTGCATGTCGACAAAGCCAAATACAATGTCCTCCCCTTACGGTATAACGGTATACCTTTGTCAATGAGTGGAGCCGGTTCTCGCTGCGTCCCTGGTGGGACCATGGACACTCGGCAAAGGCGAGTTCCGCCTTGTCCATTCTCATGCTGGATCCTTGTGCCTGAGGCGGGGCGAAAAGGTTGGTATGCAGCTAACTGATGAACTGATGTGCCATGCAAAATTCAATTGAAAGCTTCCCCAGGCCCATGTTAACAGAATGAGGTTGAGGAGGGTAGTGGATGCGTCGGATAAAACCAACATGTCACACCACCAAGGAAAATGCAGAAGCGGGAGCTCAACACATCAGCATTCTCTTGCCCGCTCATTGCAGAACTGAGTTTGCCTAGTGTACACAGTGGACCATATGAAATCAAATCCTTCCATCCCAGAGATTGTCAAAGTATTACCAACTCCAAGCAAAAGGGTATACTAGGTTCTGATGACTTATATAAGGATTTATGGGGTCTTATGGCTTGGGAGTAGCGTGGCATATCAGCCAGTATAGCCTCCTTCCCGTCCTTCCCCTTTCCGCTTTCCGCCTGAAGCTGGAGCTGCGTCACATTCAGCGGAGCAGCGGTCGAAGATCCCGAAGGGCCCCCAGCGGACCTGGCAGGTCAGTGCCAAGGGTGCGAAGGGTGCGAAGGGTGCAGGGGAGGAAGCATAGTATGCTGCTGGGCGACAGCCTTGTTTCACACCACAAAGGATCTTGTTTGATCTTGTTCCATTCGGCTGACAAACGATCTTTGCTTTGAAGGGTGAGTTGCGATACGACGAGCCCACAATGGCAGGCAGTCCAAGAGCAAGAAACAGCATGCCAGTGTGGACTACTATATTACTGTTGCATCCGGAATTGCAGAACTGTCTATTGCCCTCCTTATGAACTGGTTTCTATGTCGTGTTTGTTTAATGGGATGCCAACAATGTTCTGTTTGGCTGATGCATCAGCCTTCCCATGCGAAATTGTTTAGCGTAAGTCATTCTCATGATCTGCACTGGATGACTTGAAGAAAAGTAAACTCTACAAATGTGAAGATCAGGCATGACCGGCCCAAATTGCCAACATAAGAAAGCAAGTCTCGGCTCAGCATTGGTCAAACTGGACCTACCTAGTAAGACCTAGTATGCATCTGCAGTGCGCCTTATTGTGCCAACCATTATGCCGGGCGACGCACCAGCGGGCGCCTGACGGAGCCGTGGGTAGCAAATTCTTCCGGAGCCATGGAGTGGAGACCGAGAAAAAGAAGGCTTCAGGTCCTGGTTCTAGCAGGTGCTAAGAGTGCTAAGAGTGCTAATTTAGACTGTAGACTCTTGATGAATAAACCGACCCCAATCACTATGATCGGAACCTATGAGGGCTTATATATGTATATAGACTCTTGATATATATAATATATAATATATACTATACATTGGGCCCATCCTATTACCAGTAACCGTGGATGATGATGGTGAGTAAAGGCCTGTTAAAGAAATATATATAATACTGCTTGTGCGCTGACTGTTACATGATGGGCTATAGGACAGACCCAAACTATACATAATCCTTCTTGGGTTGGGAGATGTCTGCACAGAATTGTGCGAATTGGCCCAGATCTGAGATTTGCACGAAGCGCCGCACAGCCTGACCCAAACAACCATGTCTGCTTGCCGAATTCCCGCTAGGTGCGAAGAAAGCACTGACCAACTGGGGCACATCTCTGAGTGCACTGAATGTTTGCCCGTCTTTGCAATAACTTGTTGGCCTTTCATGCCAGACTCTTCGATACTCGCCGCCAAATGGGAAGCAAAACAAAGCCAAAGGTGTAGCTGAGATCAAGGCGTCATCTCCTGACCTAAGATGGTCAGATTGGGCTAAAACACCATCCACACCCACATTTCCAGACCTTGCTCTCACATGAGACGTTTCCAGGTCTCGCTCACACCTTGTTTCACCAATTCATGCCTATTTCATAACGGTGTTTTTGGTTCAAGATGGCTCCAGATGGTTCAACATACCCGATGAATAATACCTGAATCGTTGGGTGAAGGATTTCAATTGAAAAACTGTATTCAAATCCTTCGGAGCTGACGTAATTCTTTTTTTTGAATGTTCCAAGGTCGACACTAAGTTTTTTTGACTGAGATTCTGTCGCTTTAAAATCCTCGAGCCGACGTTTTAATATAATCCTTCCCCTACCCTACATGATCACATCTGATACCGAAATCATGGGCTTATTTAAATCCTAGTATGGACATCAAATCCCCACAAATGTCCCCCAAAATTTTGTATTTTGTTCCTTCCCATAATCACGGCCATGGCTGCCAAATTCTGAAAAAATGTATAAATGTGACATTTAACGTCCGTGATACGTGTGTGCTTGTGCATGTCAAATATGTACAAACCACTTTATCACTGTGTCATGTCTTGTGTGTTCAGGGGCCCGGCTGGTCATTTCCTGGTTGAGTATTGGCCTGGCATTTTTGAGGCACAATGATCTGATTATATAAGGACATGCATGTTCTTAAAAAAATAAAGCAACGGCATACACCGAGGTCGGACAATCGAAACGGGTCATCGGGTCCTCGGTCAAAGTCCCAAAGTAGCAAGGCCAGGAGCCCCTAGTAGCGTCCTTGTTTGACCTTCAGATTCAGGTCCATTCCAAACTCCACAGGAACGCTCAGTTGAGCTCAGGAAAAAGTATTTGCCTCCATGGTTGGATAAAGAATAAATGGCTGGCAATGCACAGACCGGCCCTACTCAAGTATTAAAATCAGACCTTGACCCCGTGTAAGCAAGGGAAAACATGCATTACTAAATTCCTGGCCTAAGATACCATGTGGTCCTCAAGTTTGCTGGTATGTTATTCCAACCTGATTATTAAATCCTTGTGCCAAGGGTTAAACTTTTTTGGTAGCAAGTTTTTGGCATCGTATTGCTTTTCTGGACGCAGGCGAAAAACAAAAAAGACATTCCTAGTTTTTCCAGGGGTTGACCCCTAAGATTTTCAATATTGATTATCTAACGGGTATTTCAACTGTTTTTTTTCACAGATTCACCACATGCTGGAGCCATCTTGAACCTGTTGCTGTTGGTGAGAATTTTGTTCCAATCCCAGCGGCGGTTGACCAAGGCTCTCCGTGAAGTTGCCCTAAGTGTGCTCTCGCGGGACCCGTGATTGATGCGAATAGATCGACATAGCAAGTCAAAGGAAAGAAGGATATGGAAGTGAAAAGGGCATCAGTACAAAATAGTACAAACACAAACGTGCACAGAGAGGGTGGGTGTGTGGGAGGCAATTTAGAACGAACCAATTGTTCAAGCCCTTCATGTCCCGCCTGCTCTTGGGCACAATGATCTGCAGTCACATGTTGGATTGATTCCACGCAAAGCTTGTGCTAAGGTCCGGGCCAAAGCATAGGAGTTGTCAGGGCTCCTTGGTCAAGATAGTTGCTGGAAAAAACGCCATCCACGCTTTTCGATGTTGAGTTGTCACGGCATGCGGGCTCGAACTAAATTGTCAAGTGAACAAATGCTTTGATTTTTGCCTCTCAGGAATCCACATTGGCTTTGGTAGGGTTGGGAACCTCTTTTTCAGCAGAGGTTGGGAACCAATTGTTGGGAACCTGTTGCTACATGGCAGCGGCAATGCCATTGTCAGTCCTAATTACCTTGGTAAAACCCAATATATTTTGGAGTTTCGGTCGGTTGCCAGTCTCACCCGGATGCTGCCTGCTTATTCATCTACCTCTGGCTCCCTCCTCTCCGTGGCAGCTTAACACATGTTCAATCACATTCAACTAACATCACGTTCCTCTTTGTGTTGTGCTTTGGGTGTTTTGGCACGAATTGGGGCGAGGTATTGCTGGCAGGGGGCCTTCGGGACAAAGGTCCCCCGTCTCCGCTGATACGTTTGTTTCGTGTTTCCGGCGATGGTGTTTGTTCGGCAGGCTGTCGCGAAAGCAACGCAAAACAGCCGCCATCGCCTTCTGCACAAGCTAGCTAGCACATGGCCAAGACTTTCCAGCTTGAGTCGGTCGAGCGCATACGTTCCGGTCGAGTTTCAGCATACCACGGCTGTTGCCAGGAAGTGAAGGCATGCCTGGCTTGGGAATTTGACCAGGTACACAGCTGCAGATCTGGGAGTGGGCGAAGTTGTCCAACAGGCCTACCTTCCCACACTTTGCTAGAATGTGAAATAAAGAACCCGTTCGGCTTCTTATGCAATGTCCCCAAAGGATCCCAAAGGCTTTTCATGCTAGCTTCTGATGCCAACTTTGCACTGCCAACAACTACTGACCTGATATTTTTGAAGACACTTTAGTCTACCTGGTTCTACCCCAAAGCCTGAGTCGATGAGTCTTCGGCTGCCGCCACGATAGGCCTTGGACGCTCATGTGTGCAGGGACATGGCTGGCCTTTTGCCTCTGAATGTGCTTGGGGGCTTCATCTTCAGCTTCATCCACTTGGTTGAGCTTTTGAACATTCGGCACTGCCCGATCCTTTCTGATAATCCACGCAGGCAAACAAGCTAGGAGGCCCAGCTTGCATGAGGCAGGCTGCGACCTGAAAGTCATGATGCTGCCATGGAACAAAAAGCGTTAAAAGTCTGAACAATGCCAAGACTTGAAAATGCAGCGAATGCCGTACATGAAGCTAGACTGCCAAGAGCCACACACTAAGTTTGATAGAATCGCCTGACTCGGCTAGGCCAGGGGCCAGCCTGGGATTTTGATCGTCGCCATGCAGCAACAGTCTTTGCAAAAATTGTAGCTGCTTCATGCCCCCTCCCTCTGTATGAACCGGAGTTGACTTTAAACATCACAAGATGTCACAAGGCCAAAGAAAAAGGAGTCGCTGAGTGAGTCATTTGCCCTGCACACCCTTCTTTTCAATCTCACAGAGTTGAGTTTGCGCTTTGAGCTCCGCTTCTCTGTACTTTGAGAGCTCTGTACGTTGGGTGAGACTAGGCTCCTATGGTCCTATGGCCACTGGCTGTGCAGGGAAGAGGACCGCAGTTTTGTTGCAGCCATGAGTGACAAACTAGTGCATCAGAAATTAACGTCCAAACATGCGCAACCAGCCATACTCCTTCATGCAAAGACCCGCCCATGCCTTAAAGGTGCTGGGAGGAGTAAAGCTCGAGCGGCGTGTCATAAGGTTCAGACTCAGCGAATACCATTGAGGTATGAGAGCTAGCCTTTGGTAGAGTGAGGTGTAAGTGAGATGAAATGATAACTGCAGGCAGAGGGCAAAAAGACGAGCGAAAAGCAGCGAAGAGAATGAAAAGGGCCAGGGCATCAAAAGGGCCATGATGGAGTCTGATGGAGTGAGGCGATCTCACGAAAGGCTGAGCGGAGACGACGTCTGAGGCGGCGAACCAAGAGACGAAATAGATGCGATCCGCGATCTGATGTGGAGGGATGCGCTGAGACAAGAAAAAACTGACAGCGACAAGACGAATCCTTAGCGACCGACCCAAATGGCAAATAAGACGTCACAATGAAACACCAGTTTCAATGAGCTGAAACAGCTTTGCAAGGTGTGCAGCGGATCGAAACACGTTGTGCAAGGGTAATTTGCGGAACGGAATGGCATACACTGCTCCCCACATGAACCCTACAATATATAAATGCCAAGTCCAAATCACTGTCCTTACTGGCCTCCCTCTTTCTTCGAGAAAGAGGACCAGCAAAAAGACCACTTGAAGATTGGAAGGGACACCAGGAATGTAAATGATGCTATAATTAGTTAAATGTAGCACTGACTGGTACATACAAACCATCATCGCTTTGGATCCGGGCAACACCCCCGACCAGAACAAATTTGCATGTTTCACTGTCTAGAACGCCGAAGTCAACAGGGGGTGCATGATTTGCATTCAGTGCTGTCTTGGCATGACTTCGTTCTTCACGCCGACGCTCCGTCTCAACGAGATGCCACCATTGCCGCAACAGACACCACGTATGCTAGCCACCTTCAGGGCTGCCATTGCGATCAAAAGTGCACAAAAGCGTGACCACAAAATCCTTAAGGCTGGTGCCAAAAAGGCACCATATCCAATGCGTGGCAGGAATAAAACCAGGAGTAACAGATAATCAGTTTTCTCCGCTGTGCTGGTCCTGCCCCAAGCCGGACCATGGATGACCATGGTACTCTCGATTCATCTCGGAGCATCCCCGAGTGCACCTTGAAGGTCGGATCTTGATGGTCTCAGTCTGGTTCACCAGCGCCGGCGTCGCAGGCGTCGGCGTCGGCACCGGGGGCCCTGAAAGGGGTTAGAGTTAGAGGAACTCGTGGGGCAGAGCCAGGTCTCGTGTCACTGAGGCTTGAACGCTCAGGCTCCTTCTGTGGAGCTTCAGGGCTTTCGGAGGCTTTTGAGCGCTCCTTGCGCAGTAATGATGCTCCCAAGACGCGGAATTCCACGCCTGCTGCACTCTGTATGTCCTCTTGGCTAGTCGTGGCCATTCGACTTGATGTGGATGTCGTGCTTTCCACGCCTTTCAGTGTGGCACATCTCAGAAGCAGCCACAAATTGAAGCTCCCGAAAAGGCCCCAATCTGATCTGAGTACCAGGCACTTGTCAGGACACACGAGTCGCACGAAAGTCCCTTGCGGCAAGGTTTTCTCTTCGATCGCCAAATCATGGACCTGAATCGAATCCAAAACATGATGGAAAATCAATGAAAATCATACAAATGCATGAAACATGTCAGGCAACCCATAGCTGATCCATACGTTTCTCCCATCTCAAACGAATCCGCTGAGTCCCCCGGGCACAACCTCCCTCGAGATTGAGCAACGAGGGGCACATCTTCCGGTAGCGATCCTGGGAGGCTGGCGAGCGAGGAATTCGATCGATTGGTGCGGCCCAAAAGCCTCCGCTGGGCGGCCCATGCATGAGCTCTTCCGCTGGGGTTTGACCACCCCCATTCAGCCGAGCAACCATGATCTGGCATTGTTCTGGACACACAAGACGCACGAGCGTGTGTCTTTGCAAGTTCTTGTCATCAACAGAGAGATCGTAGTCCTCGGGCAACGCGGAAAATTGTGCCGTTCGGTCGGGATACACAATATCCCTGGGGCTGTGGCGCAAGCACCATGTAACTTCAGGAGAGTTGGGCAAGAAGCTTTGTAGTTCGCCTGCAGCAGCAGTTGCTGGTTCCAGCTCGAAATTACAAGAAATAGCTGCAGCCATGCAACTAGGCTGTTCTCAGTCTCAGTGTCGGTGTAGTTGGCACTGGAGTTCTCCCCCACCTGAGCACATCTAATCTACATCTGCAGCAGTCGATCCACCCTTTCACTATGTTCCATCATCCTTTCTCGGGTCATAGCCGCAACTGCCTCATCATCCTCATCCGAAGGGATAGAGGTGGTGAGGCCCTCGTCACTGCTGAAATTCTGAACGACAGGGCCTGAGATCTCTGCCCCTCTCTCTCTCTCTCTCGCTCGCTCAACTGTCTCTTGGTGCAACCATCACCTGTTTGGGCCTTACGGCCTTGCCGTTTCATTCGTCATATCTCCATATATAGACAATAATGCATTTTTCCTGCACGGAGAGCTGTGAGCAGGCTGGGGCCAGCACTAGCATCTGCAGCTATGCCCATCTCACCCTTGGTGTCTACCATCTCTTGACTGCCTGGCGTGCCAGTGTTTCCTCCCGGCATCTGCGTCAGGACAACCACCAGGCCAAGCAAAAGAAGACCACCCACCAACATTGGAGCTCGCTGTCTCCAGGTTTGATGGTCCAGTTGCACTGTTCGCCTCAACTTCCAAAACAAGAATCTTCTCCATTGATGCACGTGCTCTCAAATCTGCAAAGCCCACTTTTTGCAGTCCAAGCACCCTTCGACATACATGGGCGCCAGCTCATCCGACTCCTTTTTGCCCTCTTCCATGTCCTTCATCTGCTCCAATTGTTTCGGTTCTCGCCACACTGGCCCCGCTGGGGCAGCAGTGTTCAGGGAGCCCAACTGACTGCTGATCATCTGGTCCACCTGAAAATCCCGATGGTCCATCCCATCCGCAAAGCGGCCATTGTTGAACTCTGATCGAGGCAAGCTAATCACTGTGGAAAAAAAAACAATTTATCAAAAAGCTGAGTTGCATGGTCAAACCATGATGAAACTTATTTAGGCAAGGCGCCATGGTCCTGCACCAGTTGCCGCAAACAGCACTGTGCTGCGGGCCCGGATGCGCACTCTAAAATCTGCTGGACCTAGCAAACCTCGATTGTTACGACCGAGCTATTATGTCTATTTTTGTGGAAGAGAAGGCCAAAAGATGTGAGGATTCGGTGGGCGTTGGTCTAGTCAACCTCAGCCAGGTTTGTGAGGCTTATGATGTGCTTTGAGCCAAAGCCAGGAATTCCAACCTACACAATGTGCACGATGGGGGTGAAGAAACACAGGAGCTGAAAGAAAACATGGAGAAGATGGGAGAAGAGTGTACATGACTCCAATGTCTGACCTCAAGGCTGAGATGAGGCCATGGCTCTGAACTTCCTGCGCCCAACTGAGCCTGCTAGGTGCATGTTACCAGTGGTTCCACGAAAGCGCTGTGGGCTGCACATTCAAAAAAAAAACAGAAACAAGCAACTAGGCGTGCCTGTCTGTGAGCCCGGCCTACACAAGCTCGGTAGTCATGCAGAAAAAAAACAACGGCCAAAACTGCAAAGCACTAGGGGCTCAAGAGGCAAATAGAAAACAAGCATCAGTGCGGGTTCATTCTTTTCCTTTTGAAGGCACTCATGTTTTGCTGGCCACCAGTGCCCAGTTTCCAGACTGCTCAAAAAGCAGCGAAGATGAATTTGACCATGTTCTGCAAGGATGCACTTTAAAGCTTGACAGTGGCAGCACAACAACCACAGCGTGGCTCAGGCAAAGGAGTCGCATCTTGCCACTTTGTACCAAGAAAGCTTTCAACCTTTGATGTGCATCGCCCCCCCGAAGGACATGCCACCCATGACATAAAGCTCACCAGCCACGGCCGCAGAGGCACAGTCTCTGCGGATGATACTCATCTCCAACAAAACTTCCCAGTGGCCGATGCAAGGCTGGTACCTCTCGGCATTTGACAAGGTCGTCCACCCATTCGCCACGCCACCCAGAACAATCACAGCACCTTGGACGGCGGAGGCAGTGCACTCGCTCCTCGCAAAGCGCAGCGGCGGCAGTTCAGCCCACGGAGCCGTAGGAGTGTCGGAACGGTTGAGCTCCGCCCGCTCCGCGGTGAACAAACATCGATAGCCTCCGTCCATACCGCCCAGCAGGAAGATATGCTTGTGCAACGACACCGCAGCATGCTTCCCACGGGGAAAGGAAAGGGGTTGGCTCGGCAGCCATGTGGGAGATGCTGCTTCAGAATCCATGCTTTCGACCGACTCGAGCGCTTCCAGTCCATCAAAGCCTCCCATCACAAACAGGTAACCACCCACGCAAACAGCGGCTGCACTATGCCGTGGGCCACTCAATGCGGGCATCCTTCGCCAACAGCTGATGCTGGTATCGAAACACTCGACCGAGCTCAATGAGCAGTCGTTTGCATCACGGCCACCCACCACATAAACACTCCCAGCAAACGCCGCCGCCGTGCTATGGCTCCGGGCGATGTTGGGCCCCGGCAGCGTTTCCCAACGGGTGGGGTTTTCGGGATCAAAGAGCTCGGCCGTCGGTAGGGGGTCATGGGGACCGTGTCCCCTCCCGAAGTGACCGCCAACCACCAGCACTTTGGACTGGAGGGCGGACCACTTCTTCAAGCCACTCGTGTGGATCAGCTCCTGGTCACACCGGGAGGATTGCATGATCCTTCGCCCCGCCCATGTTCCTGCAAAGCGAAGGACCTTCACAACCAACCCTGGAAGACACAGGACATCGTGCCACTGGCAGGCCATAGCAAGTGGTGGAGCTCATGATTGTCTCAGCTTCCACAAGCTAAACAACAAAGATGCTGAAAATGGATGAATGTCATGGTTTGAATATTTTTGAATGTGAACAGGTTCATGTTCTGGCACGGCATAGGTTGTGCCGCGGTAAAGTTTGATTGCACTGCGAATCAAATCACACGCATCTGAACAAGGCCAGCAATCTACTGTTTTTCCATCTGAGAAGATGCTGTATGGCCCCGCATTGTAACTATCGGAGCCAAAACGATGGTTGAAGGTAGAACTCCGACCGGCTGTAAGAACGGCCAAAAACTACTCAGCCGCGGCTCGAAAAAAGAACATGTTTGGGTGATGTTGGGTGTCAGCGTCTTTCCTCCCCTCCATCGCGCCAACGGACACGACGTGCCGAAGCGCTACTCCGAAGGGACGCCTCCCATATCTCCAAGGCCTCGCTTTGCCGAGCTGAGTCGACGTCCGGGTTCGGCCGAAACGGCTCGAGCGAAGCGGGTGCGTCGCGCGGCGCCGGTTTTTTGGTCGTGTTCCAAGGCCATGGCTTTTGTATCTTTGAATCTTCAAGGAGGAGGTGGAGCCCTCTGGAAGGGTACCTGCACCTGGGCGAGAAGATCATGCATCTTGACTTATGACATGACAGGGAACACAGTAGGGAACACAATCTGCGGCTCTAAGTGCTGTTCCAGCTCGTCTAGGGGAATCCAGCTCTTGCGGCAAGACCAGTCGATCGGATGGACGACGCTCCACGGAGCCTTGGCGATCCAGGCGCTCAAAAGCCAAACCTGGCAGCCTTCCCAGTCGTGGGCACTCACTCTCTGAGGTGCCCAACTTTGATTGGGGTCCAACAAGGACTTGCTCTTCATCTTGGTGCCTGTACCGCCTCCACCGTCGGCTCCACGGGTCGGCGGGAAATGGAAAATGGATGAAAATGGGAGGATCCAGGCCTGAGGGGCTGGGCACACCGCTTCCACGATCCTCAGCGCGAGACTGGTGTGAAACATCGAGCGCCTCGAGCACGAGCACAAGGCTGCCAGGCAATCGAGGCTTGGCGCACGAACAAAAAGAACGAAGGTGGGCACCATCGGTCGTACATGGTCGTACTAAGTCGTACCAATCGCTGTACTCACTAGCTAGCGGCCGCTGGCTAATGCATGACCTACACCACAAGAACCACTGGAAGCCAGTGGCACCTGCGATGTATAGCGAGAAAGACGGAGGCTGAGCATCTGGCTGGAAGCCTCATTGATGCGCACACTGCTTGCTTGAATAATTCACTTTCCCCAATCGCAGCGGCAAGGGTTCTTGAATTGACAGGAGCAAATTGTGCCCCATCTTGTCTGTATTGTCAAGGTCTTTTCTTTCAAAGATTTGCTCCAAGTCACGAGTCAGGCTCATTTTGCTGGGCTTGTGGCACAACCTGAAGGCCAAAACCGATCTCCGAACCTTTCAAGCTGCTCAGCTCCTTTTGGGAGATGTTGGATGTGCAAATGCCCCGTCTGCATTCGAAAATTATAGTAAGACTGGATTCAACATGCAAAGGGTTCAATGGTTAAGTTTGATGTGCGCAGCGGCTAGTTTGATGGTTCTAGCCCTTGAGCTCGTTTGTGAGTCGAAACGGCATCGCTGACAACGGCATTGAGCCGAAACCGGAAAGACATGAGATGCCGTAACCCGATCTTTGTGCTTTTGAATTCTATATGGCGGCCCCCAAATAGATAGAAATGGTGTCCAATACATGTTGAAAGGGATTTTTACTTTTCTATCCATTTGGGGGGCCACTCTGCTCCTAGGTCCTAGGCCAACGCTTGAGTTGCAGTTGGCTGGCGCTGAGTAGGGGCTGAGAGTACTGGCACCTCATTCCCTGATTCTCTACCCATGCATGTCTCTGGGCTGCGCACCGGAGAGAAATCCGTCTTGGGCTTCTCTTGTGAAGCTTTGCCTCACAAAGCAACGCGCGAATGACCTGTGTATTGCTTAGAGGCTTAGCAAGTGACAAGTGTCCATAAATACAGCATCCAGTCCATGCAAACCTTGCTTCACGTAGAATGTCCTACCAGCCTCTGACATACTCAAGTAGTACAATCTATGGTCAATCAACATGCTCATACACGGACTAGGAAATCATGCAAACATCATGCACAAATACACTGGACATGCACATGCATTTCCCACACGCACATATTACAGTATGTCCATTCAGTGCATTGTGCCGTCGCACGTCTGCGCTGCCAAATGTAGAGGGGTCATGCATACATTCCGCGTAAATCGTGTATTTACACTGAAGTATGCTCGAGTATTACAGTAGTATACTCTTGCAGTTCTCAACGCAAAACTTGGAGTGTTCTGGATACCTCCCAGCCAACCAGCATGTTTCAAACCCTCACTACCTCAACGTCACGAAATGGAAAGGCAATATCAAGCACTGGCATATCTGGTATCAAATCTGATAGGCTACTCAGCTTGATCAGGCCTGCAACAACGTGGCCCGGCTCTGTGACTGCCTGGCCCCGGCGAACAAGTAGCTTTCAGGCAGCGGCATTGCAATTAAGGACCAAACTCGGGCCCTTCAGCAGGCTGTGAGGTCAAACAATCAGCACCGGACCGGGTAGGAGCTCCAAGAGCGTCCCACATGTCCGGGTGATTCTAGGGTTCTACGTGCATCCACTTGCTGGCCTTTTTCTTTGCGGCAGGCCTGTCCACAAGCAAGACCTGCATGGTCGCGGCTGCCCAAACACCAAAAAAAGGACGGGTCAAGAAAGCCAGAAGGAGAGTGAGGTTGGATATCTCGAGTCATCTTCAGTTCATGTTAAAAGCGCCTTTGGCAGTCGCGAGGTCGTTGCCAAATGTATGGGATCGTTCGTACATTACACGAACCATGGAGCATCGCCCGCACATGTCGCGCCTGCTCAAAGCGGAGTTTCTGCTCCCAGGTGGAGCGAGTATTCAGCTGCAAAAACTGAAGTTCTAACCTTGGAGGTGGATGTGGCTGTCACACCCCGGACAGTGGATTAGCTAAGCCGTGCTAAATCGTGCTAAATTGAACCTCCAACACACAACCCATTTGCATGTTTCCAATTGAACCTCTCCATGGAT